CCATAATTTAATTTGTCTAGTGCTGTGCTATAATGAAGTACATTAGGATTCTTCTGTTAATAGTTTCATTGAGTCTCCATACATACCCTGCCATAGAGTGTAAAGAAAAAAGAGGAAAAATTTAGAGAAGTATATGAAACCTCTGGGAAGAGTTGTTCTGATTTTGGCCCATGATTTTTATAATTGTTTTGAATGGTACAATCTGTTCCATGTAGGAAGAGCAATCCATTTACTTTGAGAGGACAAGTAGCAAAATTATGGATATGTATTGTTCAGACTTAATGTGAGTCTATCTTGTAATTGATTTAGTCCCATCTTTTATTATCATCCATTATAATGATGTTAAAAAATACACTATCTATGTCTTGTGATGGAGAAGTCCACATTTTCTATTGCTTCAGGGGTTTGATATTGATACTCTTTCCTTTACTACTTGAACATTAGTTAGACCTTCAACTCGGCCAAGTATGTTTGTTATATGAGTTTTTAAATAGATATTTAATGTGTGAAGTAATTTATGGTTTTCTCCTTACAGTTTTAGTATATCCATATACATGCAACCATGCATATGTGTTATTTAGAAAGTGTTTTTGTTCATTGCCTTTGATTGGTCTTATTGAAATCTCTTATGCTTTGACATTAGCTATCACAAGATGCAAACATTTAAATCATAGAAATATATGTTTATGCACTGTTAGATACTCTTGCCATAGTAAGCTAGGTTTAGGAAAAGCAAGATCTTTTTTCAGAAAGCTCATATGTCGCTGTGCTGTGCTGTGCTTAATTGCTTAGTCGTGTCCAACTCTGTGTGGCCCCATGGACTGTAGCCAGCCAGGCTCCTCTGTCCATGGGGATTCTCTGGCAAGAATATTGGAGTCGGTCGTCACGCCCTCTTCCAGGGGATCTTCCCAACGCAGGGTTTGAACCCAGGTCTTCCGCACTGCTGGCAGACGCTCAGTTCATGTTCTGACTCTTTGCAAGTCCATGTACTGCAGCACACCAGGCTTCCCTGTCCATCGCCAATTCCCAGAGCTTGCTCAAACTCATGTCCATCAAGTCGGTGACGCCAACCAACCATCTCATCCTCTGTCATCCCCTTCTCCTCCTGCGTTCAATCTTTTCCAGCATCAGGGTCTTTTCTAATGAGGCAGTTCTTCGCATCAGGTGGCCAAAGTATTGGAGCTTCAGCTTCAGCATCAGCCTAAGTTCTTCCAATGAATATTCAGGACCAATATCTTTTAGGATTGACTGGTTTGATCTCCTTGCAGTCACTAGCTGACTTTTTTTGTGTGCAGTGAAAGCTTTGGGCTTACTTATGAAGTTTAATTAACCTGCTTTTTCAACAAGGGACAGGATAAAACGCTGTCTTTAATGTTTTCACAAAAATTAATCAAATTATAACACTTTTTTGAACATGGATATTTATGAACTTCAGCCATTTCAGTAGACTGAAGCATCTATTTCCTGGATCTAAATTAATGATAATACTAAATTTACTCCTTTACAGTTACATTGAACATTAAAAGCAGGATGCTTTTGTGTCAATTCCATAAGCAAATGCCATGAATTTATAATTTTATAATTATACCACTGTCAGTCAATATCTTTAATCACCTATTAGGAAATTTAATTAAGAAAAATGTTTTATATTAATGAAATTCTAGTCTGAATATTTTAGGAGGGAGTTTTGTTGAGTGTCACTTCTATTAATAATAGAAAAATGTCTTATAAAGACAAATTAGAGTACTTAAAAGTCAGTGATACATTTACAGCTTCATAATGCATGGAAAGATGAAGCACATATAGTTTAAAACTGCATATTTAGATTTTAGAATGTATTTTTTATACATGTTTAAGCAAACGGTGGTATTTTAATGTGTGATGATGAAATTCATGCTAAGAAAGCTGTTAAAACTTTTGGAATGTGAGAGAAGTATATTTGTGTACTAAAATATATGCAACTATTAGTGTATACTGCAGTACTTAATGTGTTTTTTGGATTTATGTTTATTAGTCATTTTTAGTCATTTGCCAGAATTGAAAAGCAAAGTTTCCAAAGCTGCAAAATCTATTCCATCCAAATGAGCATTAATGTGCTGGCCGCACACCTGAATGGCCATGGAAAAACATATATACATACATATGTACATACATGCATGTGTTCCAGTTCAGTTCAGTTTAGTCGCTCAGTCAGGTCTGATTCTTTGTGACCCCATGGACCACAGTATGCCAGGCTTCCCTGTCCATCGCCAACTTCCAGAGCTTACTCAAATTCATGTCCATCCAGTCGGTGATGCCGTGCAACCATCTCATCCTCTGTCGTCCCCTTTCCCTCCCACCTTCAATCTTTCCCAGCATCAGGGTCTTTTCAAATGAGTCAATTCTTCACATCAGGTGACCAAAGTATTGGAGTTTCAGCTTCAGCATCAGTCCTTACGATGAATATTCAGGATTGATTTTTTTTAGGATTGACTGGTTGGGTCTCTTTGGAGACCAAGGGACTCTCAAGAGTCTTCTCCAATACCACATGATAATTCAAAAGCATCCATTCTTCAGTGCTCAGCTTTCTTCACAGTCCAACTCGCACATCCATACATGACTACTGGAAAAACCATAGCTTTGACTAGATGGACCTTTGTCGGCAAAGTAATGTCTCTGCATTTTAATATGCTGTTTAGTTCGGACATAACTTTTCTTCCAAGGAGCAAGTGTCTTTTAATTTCATGGCTGCAGTCACCATCCGCAGTGATTTTGGAGCCCCCAAAATTAAAGACTCTCACTGTTTCCATTGTTTCCCCATGTATTTGCCATGAAGTGATGGGACCAGATGCCATGATCTTAGTTTTCTGAATGTTGAGTTTTAAGCCAACTTTTCCCCTCTCCTCTTTCACTTTCATCAAGAGGCTCCTTAGTTGTTCTTCGCTTTCTGCCATCATCTGCGTATCTGAGGTTAAGCCAATTAAATTAGACTCTTTATTCACGATCATTTCCCTACACAGTTTATACCTGATATAAAACCATTGTCTGAAAGCAGTCTTTTCATAATAAAGTGTACTCACTGTCATTACTGACTTAAAGCAGAAACATTAGCTTTTGACTCTTTGCATATAAGGAGTCCTTTTTGCACAATGGACATTCTCCAGATAGAAATATCCAGATTTGCTCAGGAAAAGGTGAGTGAAACAGTGTTTAAGTCTGTACAAGGATTTGGAGGACAAGCCAGAGAAGGATCCAAGGATTCTAGTTTCTAAGATCTACATTGATTCCTGAAGGATGCAATGAACTGTTTCCCTGAAGCCTTTAAAATAGGGAGGATTTTTGTCATTTCTTTATCCTTAAAGACTTCTCAAAGTAGCTTCCAACTTAATGACTATTTTTTCTTTAAGCCCCAAGCATATCTCAGTAAGTCTATTAATTTGTCACAGGATTTCAGAGTGAATCAGCATTTGAGAAGTCATCAGCCTTATTACTTGGTATGTGAAATTTTGGGGAGAAAGCTTTATGAATTGAAATAATCTTTTGAATATTTGAAGTTACTGCTTAGTAATCATTTTAATTTTATTTTTATTGTAGATAGTTTTTCTTTCAAGAGGAATGGTGTCATAATATTAAAGACAAAACAGCTTTAGTGAAATATATTTAAACTTTAATATATGAAGTTTCACAAACAGTAAAAATAAAGGAGGAAAAAACCTTTCTTTTACAGCTTTCCTTATATTCTATTCACTAAGACCATCCAGAAGAGTATTCAAGATTTATAGTCACAAATTCATGTACAGATTTTAACGTTTGTGATTTGGGGAGGGATATGGACTCCATGTGGAGTAAATTTTAACAGAATATGGCTTCATAGAATATATTGCTAATTATCTACATGCCGTATTTGAAAAACATTAAGTGTTTTTTATAGTATGTATAACACTCTTCCACTTTCCTAAGACATTATGCAAAAGGAAAAGAGGCAGCTACTAAAAAACTGAAATGCATGCAACTTTTGTGCCTACACATTTAAACTTGTTTTTTTCTGTTTCTGTCATATTTCTTTTATCATGCTTATTATGTTTGTCGTGTCTGTCATCTACATAAAATTCTGTATTTATGACCTTCACAGGCAGCATCCAAACATTTTCTTAACAGTGAGCTAGACATCTCACTGTTAACTAGCATGCTTTACTCACTCTCTTAGTATTTTTCTCTTTCAACATCCATGGGGAGAAGAATTTTCATTGATTTAATCTGATGTTTAAAATGTTAAAGGTCATTAATTCTCACATGGTTACCCACTTTGGACCTTCTTCCTATGCAGACACTTACAGCCCTGCTGCTTTGCATTGATTTTCCTTCTTTTTTCCTCAAATGCTTTCTTTCACATTATATTTTTAAGCCAAAAAATCCAAAGTAAATGTTCATAAATTCATGTTTAAAAAGTTAGAATTTTTGAAGTCTTTTTTATGATTTAGTAAAAGTGAATACTCTGTCAGTTGTAGGTACTCTTTTGGTTAAAGTTTTTTTGGATCTTTAACTTTCACACCACTTTTTCAGAAATGTCCTAAAACTGTGTGTCCAGTTTTAGAGACTAGAGAATAATTTTGAATAACATGATGTAGTTCAGAGGAGTTGAAGAAGGAGCACTAAATTTTAATACTCATCTCAGTGCAGTGAATATAATTTTAGCCAGTATCACTCATGACAGTCTGTGTCTTGGCGTGGGTAGTCCTTTTGGGGGCAGTGCGTGGGGTAACCTAGTTCTTTCTGTATTCTTTATGTGTTTCTAGGCTGAGAGGAAAGATAACCCTCCCCTAGGACAGTATGCGTTTGTGACACACACTCATTCAGGGCTTCAGATCACAGCCTTTGCAGTGCAGATGTGTACCATCTGAGGCGCACACACCCGAGATTATGAAACTTACTAACCCTTCATAGGTTGAGGAAGTTGCACATAAGGTATTCCTTCTCCACTTCAAAGCAATTGCATTTTTCCTTCTCTCCCTACTGTGCAGGTGACTTGGATTATTACTGGCTGGATCCCGCCACGTGGCATAGCCGAGAAACATCGCCTATTAGCTCGGTGAGCATCTGGGGAGGGAGATTGGGAGCTCGGGGAAGATGTGGGCCGTTCATCATCCTTTGCTGACATGTGATAGACGGTAACCTTATTCTGCTCCATTGCATATCTTACGAAAGAAAGTGCTGATTTCATTTAAGACAGTACAGTTATGAAGAAAAATAAGTTAGCACTGAATAATACTTTATACAAATTTTAAAGTAGTAAAAGCTAGTGTTTAGTAATGACTATATGTAAATGAGATATTATTTGCTTAGTGATATCAACATCACTAACACCTCAGAATACAGAATCAACTTGATTGATGGCAGCAGATATATTTTGCAGTTTCATTTCATTTCACTTCAGAGCTGTATTTTGGAGAGGTACTTAGTTTCTGACTTTTTAGAATGATGTAGTATAGTAAATGCCTATTTTGAAAAAATTACAACTGTAAATGAAAATTGTTATAAGCCAAGGATAGAGCCCACTAGAATAAGGAGTCCCCTCAGAGTGTCCTTAACTGAGGAAATCGCATCATACTACAACCAGCAATTATGTGTGTATAGGAAAGAAAATAGCTGGTTTATCACCTTAGCTTTGTTCATGTCTTAATAGCATCCTGTAACGTGGCAGCCTTCTAAAGAAGGGGATCGATTAATTGGACGTGTTATTCTTAACAAGAGAACAACCATGCCCAAAGAATCAGGTGCATTACTGGGTCTGAAAGTAAGTACTCTGGTTTATAGTGTTTCCTAAATGATGAGTTAAAGTGTGACTGCATTCAACAAAGTTTCTGACAGTGATCATCTTCTCCTCTTTGGAAAAAAAATTTCTTCTAGTAAATATATCTTGTTGATATATTGATGGCTTATGGTATATTTAGTACCTTTATCTGGGCAGTATTTTAAAATCATTTTGTTAAAATGGCATACAGATATGTTAGGAAACTGCAATAAAATGTAGAAAAATAAAATAATTTTCCTCTGAATATAAAATTTAAAGACTGTTTTTACATTAAAATGGTTTTAATGGAAAGTAGTAACATTAGACAATACGAACCTCATAATTTTATTATATTTTGACAAGCAACCTCAAAGATCACTGAAGAGATTGTTTCCTAAGTGCAATAGATTTTATACTCAAAGAGTAAGAGGTACCTTTAACAATATTAACTGACTTCTAACAGATTAAAAAAACTAAAAAATTATAAATATTTTTATTTTGGCAAGAAAAAATATATATACATTTTGTTTTATTGTGTGTAACATGAATCAGAATGTTGTCTCATGGTTTTATTTACTTTCATAAACATTCGCAAATGTTGCTTTAAAATTATTATTTACCAAGTGATTGCATGGTATAGTTGGGTAATAGTTTGATCTCTTTAAAACAATTGCCTATGAATCCAACAAAAATGTTTTTTCAGCTAATGTCACCTTATTGATTATTATCATTAATTTCTCTTGCTGTGAACTAATTCTCATCACCTCCGCTATTGGGCACACCCCTGTTGATCAACTTCAACTTTTGACAATACCCCTTCCACTTTTAATCATATGTATTGAGCCCCTGCATGGGAGAGATTAAACTTAGAACCTTTCAGATATGTTTAATTTTAGTTATTGAGGAAAATTCAGGTGAACATGTTAATTATTCAGTGATATAACTCAGCCTTGGAGACTCAGATTGGATCCTCTTTGTATATCAGATGAGGTCATTCAGGTGTTCAGGAGATGTGGTAAAGTTAGGCTGTTAGTCTGCACCATGGTGAACTGCTTCCCCAAAGTGGTCTGTTCTTGGTTTAAATCCCCAGTCTTTGTCTTAGACTAAAGATATATGAAAAAGATCAAGTTCCCATGTCACAATGGAGCACGGTCTGATTATAGAAATTCAAGTGAATTTAGATAAAGGAAAATGAACTCCAGTGTTAGTAAAGTGTCAAACACCTGTTGTCTGATGGTGAAAGGGAATATCTTGTATTCTCAGGGTCACGTTATCCTAGACACCCTTCAGTGTGAGGTTGGTATGATGAACCAGTATATAAACTTCCTTAGGACACATTATCTCACATGCAATGAGCTAAGTTTTCTTGTTGCTACTATGCTGCAGCCTCCTTTAACCAAAAACAGATTTCACTTCATTTTTGTTCCTATGTTCAATTCTAAACATATCACAAAATATATAGGAATAATTCCCCAAACTAAGAGACTTATGTTTCAGTGTGAGTCTTGGGAACTTACAAATGTATAATTATCCAGGTTGTTGGAGGAAAAATGACTGACTTAGGACGCCTCGGTGCCTTCATCACCAAAGTAAAGAAGGGTAGCCTTGCAGATGTGGTTGGACACTTGCGAGCAGGTAAAGTTCCTCTTTTAATATCTAAGTCATATGTATTCTATGCATGAGTTGGTGGTTTTCAATTTTGGGTAAGTTATATATGCGCATTAAGTGAATAATCAATATTAATGCAGGCATACAGATATTTTTCCTGATATGAATATTTAATTGATTGTCATAATAGAGAACTCTACATGAATCACAGTTTGGAGAGAATGAGTCAAATCTTTGCATTTATGTAAAAATAAATAGATGAAAAATGCCAAAGGATCACTAATTTTTGTATATGGCTGCATAATGTTGCTACAAAAGTCTGAAACAGTTAAGCTTGTGAAAAAAATAAAGTCAGAGTTTAGTCCTTCATTTTATGAGTCATAGTAATTACTGAAGTTTTTCATAATGGCCCCCAAACTTATTCATTACTGATGTTTTTAATAAAATATAATAGCATTTCTTACACAGATTTTATATTATTTGTTAATTTAAATGTGACATATATCGTTGTATTCATTCAGATGTTCTACTTCTTAGTATTTGGAAATTTACATTGTGTTACTTTGTAACCTTAATATGATATAATATCATTTATATGTTGAAATGTGCCACACTTAGTAGCAGCATATTTTAAAATTTATTTTTGATAAATCTTTTTATTTTTCATTTAGTAAAAACCATATAAATATATTTTTTTTCCAGTTTGCTATACTTCAGAGTTTAGTAGAAATCTTTTGGTGAGAAAATTGGCTTACCCATTTGCCAGACAATCATAAAGAAAACAGAGTAAGCTGACCTGTCAAAGTGAGGGTTAATAACCCATAGCATGTGGAAAGAGAATATTTCTGGACTATGTTTTCAGTTTTTGTACCTTAAGGTTATAATTATTGGAACCTTTAGAAAAAATATTCTATAAAGTACATTTTTTTGTAACTGATTATGAGGGCACCAGTTCAAAATCATTCAGATTTTTATTTGCTGGGGATGTGCTCTCCAGGTATTGTATAGAGGGAAAATCCAAATGAGAGGTTTTTCTCCATCTGCTATATGCACGGCTTTGAAGATGTGTACTGTCCTCTGTTATTTCTTATCAGGGACTATTATGATTCTATAAGAGCATAGCTCAATCAGGAGTGACTATGTCATTAAACTGAGTCTGCTTGTTTAGGGACTTGAAAACTTAAAACATTATAAAAATCACTTGTTGTCTACTCAAGTGTAAAATCACTTAAGAAAGCTGAATTTGCAGATCAGATTCTAAACATGACACTTTTTTGATTTTTGTTTTTTTTAATAGACAGTTACTTAAGAAAGTCAGGTTTTCTATAGTATATATATCCCTTAGTGATTAATTTCACTTATTTAACACTCTTATGCGCCTAGAGTCTGAGAAACTTAAAACTAAAACGTTACTCTACTTAAATAACTGTAAGACATATAAGTGTACTTTTCACTTGAAGCAATTGATGTGCTTGAAAATTAGTATATTCTGTTTGGTGTACATGGTTATTTAGGAACTGTTTTCCTTCTCTTTACATATAAACAGCGTTGGCCTGTGAAACTAGTTTGTTTGTTTAGCATGCCATTTGTTCAGCATCTGCAGTCTTGCCTTAACCTGCAGTAGCTTTTCCGACTGCTGTTCCCTTCAGTCCTTGCCTACTGCTGGATGACGTAATCACAGACTCTCCCCTTGCTAAGACGTTCCATCGTCCCACAGGCGCCATCTGCTCGGTTGAAGCTCTGTAGTCCGCCCTCCGCTTACAGCCCCGCCCACTCCTTCCGCTCAGCCCGCCCCAGCCGAGCCGGTCCACCTGCGGCCCCAGGCGGCTGTTTCCACCTGCAGGACCTGGCCGTGCCTGCCCTCCTCACGGTGGCTTTGCTGTTCCTGGGCTCTGCCTGCTGATGTCCTTGCCATCTTTCAAACCTCATCTAAAGTCACCTTACTTGTGAAGCGTTTCCCGGTTCTTTCCCTGAGCAGTAACTAGTCCCCTCCTCCCTGCTGCACCCTGACTCGCCTTCTGCTCCTCACGTAGATTTCCCTCATTGCCTATAGCATTTTATTAAAGGGATTCAGTTTTGTATGTCTCCTCCAACAAATTTAGAGACAGAAGAAAGCCTCTTTTTCATGTTTGTTTCATAAATAGTTTTAAGGAGACCACCTTCTAATTAAGGAATTCTTGATTTGTAAATAAATCAATACATATATTGTTGATTTTATATTAAAAGTTGGGCTGCCAGATTTCTGTCTATAAGAGGAAGAATTTTATAATGCAGGATTTTTTGCAAAATGTTGATTGCAACACCTTACTGGATAGTAAAGTTGATTTAATGGGTTACATTCATTATTTTTTAAAAATGAAATAGAACAAAATAGAATAGAAAATATCAGCATAAGTATTATTTTAGATAATATTTTTTCATACACACACATATATTCACATGATGTAAATTTTATTTCATTTTTTGGTAAATTTAAATTTTACAGTAAATTTACAGTAAATATAAAAGACTCCTAATATATTTTAAATTTGTATTACTTTTTTTTTTTTAGTAGAATGAGGTGTATTCACTCCTGTTTGAAAAACTGCTAGTTAACATCTTAGGTCAAATGATCAGAAGTCATTTAACTATTTGTATTAACCATACTCTTTTATCATACCTAAACAGCATTATATGCTTTTCAAATATTTGCCTTTTTGCTTTTGAGTAAGCAAACACTTGGGGGTAGGGAGAAGAATTATTTTAAAATAAGCCTAGCAAAGCAACAATCTACTTTTTTAAAGGCATAGCTAAAAACTAAAAAGTTCCATATTTGTCATTAGCTTTAAATGTATAATGATGATATTGCTCCCTTTACTAGAGACATATTTCATTTGCTACTGAAGTATTACAGAAACTGATAACAGCAAAATAAGCAAACAGAAACACAAAACTAAGACTACTCAAAATATCCCTGCAGCTGGGATATTTCAGCTGAGCCTATACTGTCAATTCAAGGGTACATTGCAGAGATATTTGAGAACTAAAACTGCTCTAAATATTTATGAAAATAAGTGTTTTTTTTTCCAAATGTTCTTTGGTGAAAGCTCTGGTTAATATAGCAGGTTAGTCCATGTATCTGAATACCATGTTATTTAACAACCTAATATGTATTATATTTTTATTATTTAAAAATACTTTCTAATTTTACCTTAATTACTATGATATGTATTATGTATAGAACGTGTGTGTGAACATCTGGAAGTGGGTTGACTGTCACGCAACAGTTTTACATCTGCTTGCTTTGTAATTTTGCCATAGCTCCCTGCGTTACCCTCTGGGTATGAATTCAAATCCTTTCATGCATTTTTATTCTGTTGTGCATCTGGAGAAGGCAATGAAGCATGACTTATAGTTGGAAAATTCATGCTAACAAATGTTAATTGCTATTTCTACCAAAAGTAAAGCAGGATTTATGCAGCATTTAATAATCTTTCATGTGTAGAGCCGCCTACATTTATATTATGGAGGGCATGCTGCTAATTATTATTTTTGATGTTTCCAAATGAGCTGTGCTAATTCCATTCCATAGCATGAGATGATTTTTATATTATTTCTGATATTTCTCAAAAGATAAAGGTAGTTTGTGTTGTACTGGTTCAAATGACCAGTAATCTTCGATGGGGGAAAGAAAAAAACAAAAAAGAAAAAAGTGTTTAGAAAGAACCATTTAGCTGACATTATATGGCAATCAGTTTGCTTTCAAGAGCAGAGCCTAGACGATTAAACTATTTGTATATGTTTTGCATTTCTTTGTTAAAAAAAAAAACAAGAAAAGATAAGAAAAATAAACAGAATATATAAGGTAAAAAAATACCCTTTTTTTTAAATTCAAGGGGATGAAGTTCTAGAATGGAATGGTAAACCCCTGCCGGGAGCTACAAATGAAGAAGTTTACAACATTATTTTAGAATCAAAATCAGAACCTCAAGTTGAAATTATTGTTTCAAGGCCTATTGGGTAAGGCTAAAAAAACTTGCTTCTTAAGTTTAGTAAATTACATGTATTAGCAGGGTTTCTAAAAGAAGTTTATACATTCATACAGTACATGTTACAATGGATAGTTTTTCTTCAAATATGGGCATACATTTTAGATCTTTCAAATCTCAATTTTTTAAACTTGGACTGAATTTTCTTCACTTTACATTTTAGGAGCTCCACTATTTAACAATTGTAGTATCAAAAAGTATGTATTTTTCATAAGTGGGCTATAAAGTAAAAATATTTTCTTTTAATGGTAGAACTATTTATTTTTATTAATTCTAAATTATTATAGTGTTTCCTTAAAGAGAGTCACTTACAAACTCATCTTTTTGTGATATTTAAAATAGTAGTCATTTCATACGTCTACATGACTTTTTGTTATTCTACTAAGAATGGAATACTTTTTCTATATCTTTAATTATGGGTAGTTCCAAATTTTATTTAAAATCAAGCAAGTGTGAAATATTTAAGCATTTTAATTCACCATGATAATCGGAATGATATTTTTAAAACTCTAATTTTCAGCATAACTTAATAATCTAAAGTCAACGGGATATTTTTTCTCTGTATATAGAGTTCCCATATTGGTATATTTTCCTAACAAAGCCAGAAGTCCAGAATATTCATTATGCCTGTCTGTAATTTTTTGGAAGGCATTATGAATTATTTCATAATTAGCTTAATATTTGAATATATTTTTTGAAATTATTCCCTTATTTGTATTCTCTAAAATATTATAGAGCCATAAATTCAAGACTTTTTATGGAAGAGTAGTAACCTTAATTTTTTGTTGTTCTCATGAATACATATCAATGCAAAACATGCAAGAAAATATAATTATCCTAATTCTCAAAGAACTGAAACTGTATGATCATATATTCTAAAGAATAATATACATATATAAAACTCTAAAGTAAAGGCAAACATAATCAATTTTAAGTGGTGATTATTAAGAATAAAGATTGAAGACATTTGCAGAAGTATTGTACATTTCCATGCAGATTTTTTAAGAATAACGACACTATATAATTTATGCTAGTTTTACATGACGTGTTCTAGTGCTGAGGTAAACATGAGGCTGGAAAAGAGGTAAGTAAATTGGATAATGAATCAGAAGTATAAAAAACAAAACTTAAAGCATTGGGCACATTGCCAAATACTTTCAAATATACAGTGGTTTTAAGTAATCAGCTAAAATACCATGGATTCATGGTGATTTAAAAAATTAAAAATTAACGGACAGTTAAAGTGGACTGGAATAACATTCTCATTATCTATAGTGTAAAAATAATTTTTAAAGTATTCTTTGCATAAACAGACCTAAACCATCATGGATTGTGGAACTCAAAGGATATGGGAATACTATATTTAAGGAAATGGGAATATTTAAATAAAAATTAAATCTGACATCAACTTTCGAGTTAATAGGGAATTTTTTAGAATCTTGGAAGAATAATTCTAGATATATTTAGTAATTATGTTTCATGTAGTTCTATAATTAAAGCAGAAAGCAGATATGTATTCATTGTTTAAGGGGACAGTTATAGTGATTCCAAGAATCATCCCAAATATAACTTACACACATACTGACCAGCATGGTCTAATAGACATCAGCCATCCTGAGGTACCGCCCATTTTTGCTATTCCACCTAATGTAGTGTTCTTTAACTTTATGATTGTAATTTTTATCCAGACTGTTTTACCACCTTATTTGTGAGCAGAACAATTTCAGAAGGCTTATATAATTGTCAAGAGGACATTTTTTTGCCTGAAAATATTACTGAAGCAATTAACAAAGAAATACATTTTAATTCTCTCTTCAAAAGAATGTTTTGTAACTTCTCCATAATTCTTCTTTCACAGACACATAAAATTCAAAGCTTATATCTAATTTTGAAGTTCCAAATTTTACTGTCATAGCTGAGGATAATTTTCAAAGAAGTTATATTATCTAAAAAATATTGTTTCTAGATTTTTAGGAATTGATTTTCTGCCTTTGAATTAAGAAGGTAGAAGATATATAGTTGGTTTCTTGTGTCTTAGGTATTGAATAATTAGCCCCATTATCACATAAAATGTATATTTCTGACACATTATTAATTGTACATGATTATATAATAAAATTTGGCTTCCCAGGTGGCGCAGTAGCAAAGAACCTGTCTGCCAATGCATGAGACACAAGAGAGACAGGTTCTATCTCTGGGTTGGGAAGGTCCCTGGTATTAGGAAATGATAACCCACTTCAGTATTCTCCCCTGGAAGATCCTCTGGAGGAGGAAATGGCAACCCATTCCAGTTTCTTTCCCTGGAGAATCCCATGGACAGAGGAGCCTAGTGGGCCGCAGTCCATAGGGTCATAAAGAGTCAGACACAACTGAAGCGACTTAGCACCAGCATTCTTGCCTGGAAAATTCCATGGACAAGAGGAGCCTGGTAGGCTACAGTCCACGGGGTTGCGAAGAGTCAGACATGACCGAGCAGCTGAGCACACATAAAATACATGAGATTAATTGTCATTTGTAAGAAGTAAAAATTGTAGGTGTTTGGAATTACTTTGCCCAAAAATGTGAAAATGAAGAGTCAGGAAAATAAATCACCAAACAGAAAACTATTTTTATTTCAATTCCCTCCAAAAGTGCAAAGAAAAATCAAAGTGAAGTTAGTTCATAAGGTAAGTGGTTAGAAATTCTTAAATAATATTCTCATAATTTTATTGGGACTAGCTAACTCCAGTCTGCTTTAATTTGTCCTGTTATTACTTGTATATTGGTAATGGTCTTATATTGATACGAAAATATCTTGGAAAAAAGAAGTTAAATAGTTTAATACAGTATAATTCCCAAACCAAGCTGGTCCAGGGTTCTAAGGCCATAGTGGATAATGGATGAGGCTGAGGTCATATTAAATATTAATTCAGAATAATTTGTGAGTGTGTCAGGAGTGGGTGTTCTCACAAGTCACTTTCTGATCATCTAGTCAATGGCCATATATTTAGCTAACTTCAGCATAGAGATATGAATCTCTGTATAGGGTTATATATGTGTATATGAATTATATATTCACATATATAATATATTTTGGCTTTTTTGTTGCTAGCTTGAACCATTTTTAATTTCCAAAGCAATCCATCTTTTTTGTTTTTTTAACTTTGCCCATGATATTCACCATGTTATTTTATTCTCAGGAGATGTTTCCATTCCTTTCATTCAGTAAACTCTTTCAGATGTGTTTGTAAAGCATATTACTGATTTGTAAAATATGTGTCATTTTGATTTTCTAGAATTGAAATAAAATATTGCCTTTAACATTTTTTATTTCCAAAACCTGCTGTTTTGGTAGTAAAAATATTGTGGCAATTTTAGCCGCAATATTATTCTGATTGTTGTCATGTTAAAGTGTTTTGCTATTAAATATATAAAAACTTACTTTTACTGAAGTTTTGTGTGTGTGTGTGTGTGTGTGTGCGCGCGCGCGTGTGGTGTTTGACATTCATGCACATTAGAAATTGCCTTAATGGTAACTCTTGTCCAAATTCCACAAAAGGATTTTTGACACCACTGAGATAAAGTGTGGTTGTGATTGCCTCAGGCAGGGTGGTTTAGTTAATGGGATTTTCACCATGCCCTGTTTCTTTTAGTGACATTCCAAGGATTCCTGAGAGCTCCCATCCACCACTGGAGTCCAGTGAGTATAAAATTTAAGGTCTTTTTCAGTTATTTGATATAAATGAGTTGTCAACCATGGGAAATCCAAAGACGATCTGCTTTAAGATTTTTCTCTTTCTATTCTTTGTGTATGGGGGGATGTGAATGTGCCTACCAAAAGTTCAAAAGTCTTTCTTGGCAGTAGCCTTCTGCATCTTAGCATTTAGGATGCACAGAGCAAAATTAATGAAACAGTAATAGTTCTATTTGTCTGTTTGCTGTTGTTTAGTTTCTAAGTCATGTCTGACTCTTTTGCGACCCCATGGATTATAGTCCTCCAGGCTGTTCTGTCCATAAGATTTCTCAGTTTTCTCTGTATTTCCCAGAACACCAAAGTGGATTGCCATGTCCTTCTCCGGGGGATCTTCCAGACCCAGAGATCTAAACCATGTCTCCTCCTTAGCAGGCAGGGAAGAGGAAATGGCAACCCACTCTAATATTCTTGCCTGGGAAATCCCATGGGCAGAGGAGACTGGCAGGCTCCAGTCCATGGGGTCACAAAGAGCTGGACTTGACTTAGCAGCTAAACACCAGAACAATCCTATTTGCCTTACATAAACATGTGTTTTGATGCTGGATTATTCGGTTTCATTGGAAACTGACTTCATGGCATGAGCAGTCTAGTGAAGGAAACAGGCACAGAAACAAATAATTTTAATTCAGTGTAACAGTGTGGAGTATGACCATAAACGTGATGGGTGGGGTAGAGGGAAATTTCAGTGCAAATAAAGGAGTTATGGGATTGAGGCTGGAGGGTTACGTTATCTACATGGACATTAAAGGGACTCCAGAGGGAAGATGATAACCTGGGTAGTGAAGTTTTCAAGGACAGTGTGGAAGTGACTTAAGTATTTACTTTACAATGTATTGGCATTAAATTGATAATACTAGGGTTTTATCACCAAGTGTTATTATGTAACCTAGCTTATTGGAATAGAAGATACAAGGTGATTTTAGGAGAAAACAAGAGATGGTTATAAGAAGGTAGGAAATGTGTGGGTGGGATAAACAAGGAAGTGGGGATCAGGAGAGTCAGTCAAATGTATAGCATCATGTTGCACATTCCTGCTAGATATGAGCCCATGGTTCTTTTTTAGTTTTCTAATGTGAAGAGAGAAATGGGACCGATTGGATAACTTACAATGTTGATGCTTTTTTTTTTTAAGTCTGTAATATTAGAAAGGTACTGTTAGAAGCAACAATGTCTGAGAACTAAGAAGAAAATTATCCTAAGAATACTTCATCAAGGAGACACAGTTAACAAAGAATTTTATGGCACTGTATCTGATATTTAAAAGTCTTGGGAAGATGTAAAATGACACTGTGTGATTTAATTTAACCATATTGATAATTTGCATTATGGAAAAAAGTGTGGATGGGAAACTCTTGGGAAATGGTTCATAAGCACTGTTTTCTCAATAAAACTAAGGTTTGATGGCTGTGGGTTCAAGGTTATACTTGCTGGGGATATAGCATTCTGCAAACACTCATCCTGCTGGCTGTGGACAGTTTATCAGTGATCCAGGAAAAGAGGACTTTCATTTGAAAGAGGGGAGAAGACCCTCACTGCGGTGTTGTGTGGGAAGCCACCATCCCTCCTCCACAGGTCAACCACTAGACAGCATCCTTATATAGTCAGGAGATAGATCTGTGAGATCACAACTGAAAGAGGTGGAAATCTTATCTTAAAAGACTGATGAATTCTATCTCAGCTTAGATGCAGCTCATAAATTATATGATACGTGCATCCATTTTAATTTCAGTGAGGGCAGTTCATCATAGATGATCCCAAGATCATTAACATAATGGGTACCATCTTTCTTACCATTAAAGCATGAAGCCTTGAACTCTGGGTAAGGCTGTACAAGAACTTACATTGGACAATACCTTGTAGAAACATAGAAAGTCAGTGCTAAGAGAGTGAAGCAAACACATTCAGTATTTGTTTATATCATGTTAAATTCCCTTAAAATAGACAATCCAAGAAGACATGACAATAACTTTCTTCGAGCTCCCCACTGAAAATGATTTCTACTCTTATGGGTGGCACTGAATTATGATTGTATACCAATAACATATGCACTTAACATTTCATGAAAAATATGTATTCTTCACATACAGGTTATAATTATATTATTAAAAAGTATTTAATTTTCCCCCTCATTTTAGGTTCTAGTTCCTTTGAGTCTCAGAAGATGGAAAGGCCTTCCATTTCTGTAATTTCTCCCACAAGCCCTGGAGCTCTCAAAGATGCCCCACAAGTATTACCAGGACAACTTTCTGTATGTATTTGCAGTGCATGTTGCTGACCATTAGTGTCAGCTCCCTGCTCTGCTTCTGTCTTTAAAATGTGTGGCTTTTCTTAAGGCCTGTAATATAGTCAGACTCATTTCACAACATCATATACTTCATCAGTTTTTCGTTCACTTATTAGATTGTTCCTTTACTCACATATTTATCTGAACATATCTATGGAGTGCCTACAATATGCCAGATGTGCTGAACATTAAGTGATAACTTAAGAAAATAAGCTATCAATTATTTTTGTGTGTGCTGTATGAAAGTTTCTAAGGTAAGTAGTTGGTTAGACACAGTAAATGCAGAAAGCTGTGTTCTGTTTACTTAACAGCCTCATTTTCCTGGATCTTGGAAAACTTAAATTTAAAATATTTTTTAACTTTCTTAAGACATTTAATGAAACTCTCTATTACTGATCTTAGTGTGAAAAAGCTAGTTTTCTTCACTATTGTCTTATATGTGATCTGGGAAAATCTGAAGTCAAGAAGCTGTGACTATTACAGGATGTTTGTGTTAACAGCTAGTAGAAAATTCCTGCTTCACACCGTTCTATAGTTAAATTAGCTTATTTTGTTACAATGACTATTAAATGTATTTCAATAAATAACTATTAAACAACTTATTCTGATAGTTCTTATTTAACCATAAACTCAAAGCTAACTTCTAAATTAAAAATAAATAAATAAATAAAGTTAACATTGTCTCTTGCCAGTACAAATACTGCCCTGACTGTGTCAGCAGTTTGCCAGTAATTGTTCAGTGTGTGCTCTTTTCCTGGCTTTTATTATTCACGCTATCATGAATCTTAGTTAATAGAAATATCACTTGGTCTTCATTTGAAGGCATCATATATGCAGGATACCTTCCTTTTTGCTTTTCTCCTCTCATGAAAATTAACCTGTAATAGGTTAGTTGAAAATTAAATGAGGAACGCAACAGTACCTGGTGTAAAGAGGTCTGCAGTAAATGTGTTTCCTAGTATATTGTTTCTAGCATTGAACGTTTTGTTTCAGCTCCAAGTGGCGCTGCAGAATGCCTTTAGCCATGCTGTAATCTTTACGATACTTGTAATCACCGAACAGCTGCATTCAGCATTTAAAAACAAGAATAATTATTTCAACATTCCCTTCTTCCCTTATTTTTTTTCTGAAATTTTTACCGTTATTTTTATTTCATCACACAGTATAAGAGAGTATACAGCAACATGGGCAGGCCTGCCTGTTGTAAGTCATGTTTAAAATGTGTGAAGAGGAAAGTCAAGTTCTAAAGCGGTTATGCTTTCACGTCAGTATTCTTTGCTGAAAAATAACTATGATTCAGTTGTATTTTGCAACTTGACATGTCCTTCAAAAATAATTTTAGTACTTTTTGTGAAAATTTAATACCTCGTGATTTTTATAAATGCTTATTTCTCTGCCCCTTGTGCTTAGGTGAAGCTGTGGTATGACAAGGTGGGCCACCAACTGATTGTCAATGTTCTGCAAGCTACAGACCTACCCCCTAGAGTAGATGGGCGTCCCAGGAATCCCTATGTAAAAATGTATTTTCTTCCAGATAGAAGGTATGAAATAAAATTTTTTTTAATATGCAAAAATCTTTATAGAAAAAGTAGAATTTCTTCTCCTGGGATATAGTTTCATTTAGTTTTTAAAGTTTTACTGAGGTGTAATTGATATGCCAAAATTTCCACATACTTAATTATATATATTTTGATGAGTTTGCACATATGTGTACACCTTGATACAATTTTAAAATATAATAGGTACTTCTCTATGGGGGAATAAGCTATATATTGTCCCTAAAAAATTCCCTCAAGCCTTATATTTCTTTAAAATAACCTGCCAATTTAAAATTTTTTCATTACCTTGTTTCTACATCTATTAGTCTTTGACAGCTACATCATTTATCATGTACTCTTGTGTGTGCACATCTATAATAGTAACAACTGCTTATATCATATTTAAAACTAGAATTTTATTAAACTCAACTGTCTTTTCAGACTATTATATAAAAGGTATAAGTTACAGACGGTAAAAATATTCCGAGATCAGTATTGCATGTAGCTACAGTAGGTGGCAGCATATACTTACGTTTGCTTTTTCTTTTTTTTTTTCCATTTATTTTTATTAGTTGGAGGCTAATTACTTTACAGTGTTGTAGTGGTTTTTGCCATACACTGACATGAATCAGCCATGGATTTACATGTGTTCTCCTTCCCGATCCCCCCCCCCACCTCCCTCTCCACCCAATCCCTCTGGGTCTTCCCAGTGCACCAGCCCTGAGCACTTGTCTCATGCATCCAACCTGGGCTGGTGATCTGTTTCACCCTTGATAGTATACTTGTTTCAATGCTATTCTCTCAGAACATCCCGTTTGCTTTTTCATTGACAAAGCATACTTACTTTTCAGTGATAAAAGTAAAAGGAGAACCAAAACGGTAAAGAAAGTCCTAGAACCAAAGTGGAATCAGACTTTTGTCTATTCGCACGTGCATCGTAGAGATTTTAGAGAACGGATGTTGGAAATAACCGTGTGGGACCAGCCCAGGGTGCAGGAAGAGGAGAGTGAGTTCCTTGGAGAGGTGAGTATGTGGTCAAGACCCCAGTGAGATGCTTCGTGCAGCTTCTGCAGCGGGCATTATAGTGGCAGCTTCCTTCTGCTTTGCGAAAGGCCTTGATCTGACCTGAGGACTGTCCTTTCAGATCCTCATAGAGTTGGAAACAGCGCTTCTAGACGACGAACCACACTGGTATAAACTTCAGACTCATGACGAATCTTCACTACCTCTGCCTCAGCCATCGCCCTTCATGCCACGGCGACACACCCACGGCGAAAGCGCCAGCAAGAAGCTGCAAAGTAGGTTGACGCTCTTCTCAGTTGCCAGGAGCAAGTGTGTTGTTAGCTCTGAATTCCATATTGACGTTCAGGGTATTTTTTCAAATGTTCATTAGAGATTATTGAAAAATTAGTCATCTATATAAAGAAGCCTGGCAAGACCGTTTTGTCCATTTTCCCAATGAAAGTAATAAATACAATATAGTGGAGTCATTCCCGAGGTGAAAGTTTAGAACCTGCGAATTATAATCCTTTGTGCTGATGGGGTTGTTCATTGGCTGACCGAGGGGGCAGTTATTGCCTTAATTGATGGGCTGCTGTGTAGAATATCTTAATAACCATATAATTCCTGGATATTTTAGTATTATTTGTAAGAAACATTTTCTCAAAAGCATTGTAAAATCTGTTTGCTTTTACTCATCTGATGATTGGAGGGAGAAAAATGTACTTTTTCTGTACTTATTTATTAATTTTTGAATTATGACTAAATCTCTTATTGGGCAAATGAAACTTAGAAGCCTCATTTTGGTAACCTGGAATCAACGTTCAAATAATTGTTCAAATATTCATATAATTAAACATGTCATGTTAGTGCTTCTCTGATGAATTTTTCCTCAAATTAAATCTTTAATGCAGTATAATGGCTAATTTTGAAGGCTAAACATAAACATTTATAAAGGGACCTGATACCCTTTCAATAACATGAGTTCCATAGAGTTCCAGCCAAGAAAGTTCTCTCTGAACCTTTCCACTCAGCCCCATCCTGCCTGCACTGTGCAGGACAGTGTATAAGTGGGTAGAAAACAGTATACACTTTGCTATAGACCTGAATTAAAGAATAATTGAAAAGTCAAAATACTGTTCTATGAAATCTTGCCTCTTCTGTGTGTCTTCAGTGATTATAAGGATACTGAGAACATGGTATCCTTGGAGAACAAGTATTTGAAAACCAACTGCACATGAACTTCACAGAATATATATGTACAAGAAAATAACTTTTTTGCACCCTGAGATATTGAAGTCAATATACTTCATTCAATAAAAATAAAGTGTTCGGTAGCAATGTAACTAGCATTTAAAGAGAAATCTGTGACCGTGTCCTCCACATTTCCTGACCCGAGCCGACGCAGAGGTGTCTGTTTGCCTTCCTGTTGCGCAGGGTCCCAGCGAATCAGTGACAGTGACATGTCAGACTATGAGGTTGATGATGCGATTGGAGTGGTCCCTCCAGGTGCGTGGGGGGGTGTGGCGGGGTCCGGCGCTTCTGTGCTTGCTGTCCTGCGGGCTTCCCGACTTCCCTGGGCCCCACGCCGCAGATCTACAGCACAGAGAAGTCTGAATGATACTATTCCATGGTGACTTGTGTTCCAAATTATTAAGAAAGTGTGAAATGGACTAGTAACTATTCGTTAACATCTCCCCTTAAATTAAATTAGATAGGTTCTCCTTTAGAAGCATGGCTCGTGAGGTTAAAATGGTCAAATCAAAATGTTCTGAGCAGAAGTGAAAATATGAATTTTGAAAAGAGATAGTTAATTTTTAAATAAAAATCCCATCCTCCTATATTTAATATTGTATCTCTGTGACTTTCCTTCCTGTGTTTCTGGAAATAATGTAGCCGTCCATGGAATATACCGAGAAATGTGCATGGCAGGGTTTAAATTGCATGTGGCATGGCTTAACTTCAATGCTTTTGTGATGTGCTGATTATACGTAGAATGATTATACCTAGAATGTGTATGTATGTTTTACAAAAAGGAAATGCTTTAGAAAAGTTTACTATTTGTTTTAAGTCAATGTCTTTTGTCACTGTGTAAATTAGTAAAATCTTTGTGATACTTTGCATTTCAAGTCTGTTTCTCACTTGACTAGTCAGAAAGTGAGTAAAACCAATTAGTAAAGACTTATTTTCTTGGCACTAACCCTGTTCCTTTTATTTGCTAATGAAAAGTAGGGAGATATTCAAATGAGAAAAATTAAAGAGAACGTGTTAGGCTATTAAGAACATTTTCTTAGGACGATATTGACATCTGCCCCCTTAATTTACATAATTCCTCAGACAGGGATGCACCTAATTTGAAGGCAGTGATTTTGGTAAATGGCTATAGACAGATGCCACACTAGTGACTGAGTTTACAATTTAGAGATTTTTTTTACGACTTCATTAATACTGGGAGAATATTATGGAAAGGTCCCTAAAATTAGGCTTCATTTGCTCACTGTAATTCAGAGAAAATATAGTCTTTGATCACTGTATGAAGTGGCAGATATCCTTAACAACAATAAATCTGGTTCTGCGCATATCTGTATACTTAGATTACCACTTGATATCAGACCATCAGGGAGTTTTAAATAATAGTGGATAATTTGGATTACAGTTCATGTTTTGTTTCTGAGTTTGTTGGTTTCTAAAAGGATCAGTGTAATTAGACACACTCTACATGGAAATTTCCACACAGAATTCAATAGGATATTTTTTATGAAATTGAAAGGGGGAAGGTAGTTGTAAATGGTACCCCTTGGCATATTTAATAGAACTCAGATGATTCCTCAGAGGAATGGGGTCTTGTTATCAAATCTTTCTAACAAAAATTTTGCCTGCTTAATGCTGTGACTTCCAACATATCTAAATATAATTTACTTCTGTGGGTCGTTCTCATATTTTATTCACCTAAAACTTCATACTTTTATGATGAAGGCAGGATAGCAAATGAAGGGCTAATATAATAAATATTACATGTGTATTTAGTTGATCTCTTTCTAGGCTTAATATTACAATTTCCTGAACAAGGAAACTCTACATGAAATTAAAAATAATATGTGAATTGCTATTGTTTTTGTAAAATGAAAGTATATGAAATTATAAATTAATAGCACTTATGTTTATAATTATTTGGTTGTTTACTGATGTTTTTGTGGTTGTTTAGTCACTAAGTCATGTCCAACTCTTTTGTGACCCCATGGACTGTAGCCTGCCAGGCTTCTATGTCCATGGGATTCTCCAGGCAAGAATACTGGAGTGGGTTAACATTTCCTTCTCCAGGGGATCTTCCCGACTCAAGGATCAAACCTGAGTCTCCTGCATTGACAGATGCTTCTTTACCACTGTACCACTATGTAATTATTACTTTTTTGCATGAATACTAAATGAAAATGATTTTACACCACTACTGTTGTAAACATTTCAAACATTCCCACCATTCCCCATCTCCAAAATAAGAACACCAAAAGCTACCAAGTTTACTGTTGTTTTCACATTATAGTGCTTCTGAACTTTTTAATGTAAACAAACATTCTTAATTTACAAATTTTCAGAGTAATGGTACAAATTTAGCTTTCTCCTTGGAACGGAAAACTTGCTTGGAAGTTATTTCGTTTTTTTTTTCCTTTCAAGTGCATCTTGTAGCACCAGCTGCTAGATGTTTTTAGAGAGTGGCAAAATGGCTGAACTTCTTTGGTGTCAGTATTGTCATATGAGCCTTTATGAAATGTTTCAAGACCTTCCTTATATGCTAAATGAGGTCAAAAGATTATACAATCACAACAGATAAACTGTTGAGGAATTTTAGTCTGCCTTTAAAAATGTCACATGGCCTTTAAGAACGATGTGAGAGTTATCAAGTAAATAGGTGAACATTGGTCAGGCTGCCCAGTTAAATTTAATGTTTCCATAGTTTGTGTACATTTTATGTCGTTGTAAATATAGTTATTTTTCCTTTGGCCACATAATTTTTGTTTTTCTTGCAACAATGATAACAATGACCCTTGTGAAAAATACTTAAACTGTTACTATGTAGTTGAGATTGCTGTTTAATCTTTAACTAAATAAGAGATCATAAAAACCTTTTTGTTTCACGGGAGCATGACCGTTAAAATTTATTTTTAACTTGAACTAACTATTAACCTAATTATTTTAGTTTAATAGCACATTTGTGGAATAGTTTCATAATACTGGGGTATATTTGATTATTATTTCTTTAGGAGGTTTAATTTGTTCTACATTATTTCCATAGTCATTCCCACCCATACCATATTTTCATTTGAAAATTACAGTATTATCTGTGGTTCACAAAATTCACAATTAGTATTTGTAATAGTGAAGACCTGCTATTCTTCTTTGATAATTAAAATTGGTATGATATTGATTTTATTTTCTTATTATCAAAGCCATCTGAAATCCAAATAACATATATTGTCATTTAGAAGAAAAAATCAAAAAAGACAATCTAAAAAGGCACCAAATTTCTAAGCATTGACTTGTATATGAATGACAGTTCACTGTCAAGTCCTTGATTTGTATTGCTGAAAAAAAACCACTAATTCATTCTTTAAGCCAGTATCCCAACTCATCATGATTTTTGAGGCGTCATCTGTCATATTCATGTCAGTGTCTCCATGGTAACCTTTGACTTGAGCCAAACTCTACTCGGTCCTCATGCATGTGTATTTTACACTCCATGCGTGTACTTAGCAGTTTTGAAGATAAGCCTGATAATACTGATTGCATGGCACTTATCTCCATAGGTCAGTGGCTGCTCTGGGTATAATTTGACGTCGCCACATTAGCATTGACATTATGGAAGAATATTGACTTGTTCTTCATGTATACTCTCACCAGTAGGTTATAGGTCTAGCGCTCGAGAAAGCAAACCTTCAACATTAACCGTGCCAGAGCAGCAGAGAACAACTCATCACCGCTCACGGTCGGTGTCTCCTCATCGCGGCGATGATCAGGGGAGGCCACGGTCACGTTTACCAAATGTGCCATTACAGAGGTAGGCTTTGAGAAGGGCCTTGCATCCTTGACGGGACTTTTTTTATGTTGTATGCCTGCGTGCTCAGTCCTGGCCGACTGCGGGCTCAGTCCTGGCCGACTTGTTGAGGCCCCATGGACTAGTCCGCCAGGCTCCTTTGCCCATGGGATTTCCCAGGCAATAAGATTGGAGTGAGATGCCATCTCCTCCTGCAGGGATCTTCCTGACCCAGGGATTTGAACCCACATCTCCTGCACGTCCTACATTGGCAAGCAGATTCTTTACCATTGAACCACCTGGGAAGCCCTGACAGCACATTTTTATTATAATAACATGCAAACTGCTAGGAGACTCTCACGGAAATGAAAGAATGGTTTGGTCAATCAGTTATTTTTCAGAACCCTTTGTAGGCAAAATGCTGTCTTATTCATGACCCAACCTGGGCAACATTCTGTTCTCCAATCTCAAGACATCTCCCAGGGCGTGGAAGAGGTTAATGTCACAAGCATGGGTTTTGAATAACTGTATTGTATTCTATTTGCTAGTTTGTTTGTTTTTCTCCTGTTGGGAGAAACTGTAGGATAATAAATTAGCTTGGGCAGAGAAGTGGTAGAGAAAATAAGGTTAAAAGTCAGAATGTATTTTTAAGAAATTTGGTGCTGTCTCTTTGAAGCACTATAAATGTTTGGAAAAGCATATAAACCATAAGGAATGTCCTTCTGTATTTTACTTAACCCTAAAAAGCAGTTCAGAAGTTTTATTTAAGTATGCAGATGAAAACTGTGGTCCTTTTTTGATAGTAGTTCAAAAGGAGATTGGGGAAATATAGCATAGGCAAAGCAACAACAGACAACCAGTTCAGTTCAGTTCAGTCGCTCAGTCGTGTCCGACTCTTTACTATCCCATGAATCGCAGCACGCCAGGCCTCCCTGTCCATCACCAACAGACAATAAATATCTTTAAAACAGGCATTTGGGGATATGGCCAGAGGTTTACAAGCCTCGTCAGTTGTTTGCCAATTACTGTCAGTTCTTTCCTGTCAGTCTCTCAGACTGCTTGGGACAAATGTTACATTTTGATACATGTAAATCTTTGTAATCATTTTAGGAGTTTAGATGAAATTCATCCAACAAGAAGATCACGTTCTCCAACCAGACACCGTGATGCCTCCCGAAGCCCAATTGATCAGAGAATCAGAGATGTGGATAGTCAGTGTTTATCAGAACAAGACAGGTATTTTTTCACATTATGATCTCAACATGATACATTTTCTTTGCCATGTTTTCATATATGATAGATATCTTAGCAGAGCACAAGAGACAGTGAAAGAATTCCATCTTTCAAAACTGAACTTCTCCCAAGGAATGACTTTTGAGATATTCTAATAGAAATGGATCTCTAGGAAATATTTGACTAATAGTGTATTGTCATAAAATATGCACTATTTTACAAAATCAGAATTTATGTTTAGCCAGTTTTAAATATACAGTTTGTTGTTGACTTTCTTAACCTAAGTTACAGAAGGGAGACTATATAAGCTACTTTTCAATATTTTATTTTTTGTGTATTGCAGTCTTAGGAATATTATTTGTATAATTGTGAAATTATGTTTTTTCTGTAATAAAAAAGGACAGCTCATTTGAAAGACTTACTTTCACAGTATCTGTGAGGACCTCAATAGTAATATTTTTTTAGTACACCTAGTTTTCATAAAATGTGGTAACCAAAAATGTCTGTAAAGTACAAAATGTTGAAATGGACTCTTTCTTCTATGGATGTGTATGTAAACTTAGTTCTGCATTTCTTTATGAACAAGGTACTTCCTGTTACTTACAGTTACTGAAAATTAGCATTCTGGTTCCATTGTTCTACATTTCTACAGACCTGCTCCTCTGGCCCACCCTCTTCATATAGGATGTGCTTGACCATAAGCTCAGGGTCTGACTTAGTGGTTAGAATCCCCAGCTGGTTGGATAGTGTCTTCTGGCTTTTTGAAGTGGAGAGGTTTTTAGGGAGGGGTAGGAAGGGAGAGTGGTACTCGGTGGCTAATTTTTTGCTGTGTAATCAAGGACACAGAACTCACAGATAGCCTTTTAGCTCTGTGATTGTCACCTTGCCATAGAGGGAGTAGAGCCAAGACCTTCAGGATGGGGTGATGGAACTTCCTGGGACTTAACACTGCTCTCCAGAGGAGGTTTCTCGGCTACTCAGAGTGGACTGAGGTCAGTTGACGGTCCCTTTGTTGACAGTCACCAGGGCCACCATGAATTTATGTGAAGGAGGGGATAAAAAAGGACTTCCAGACCAGGGCATTCAGTAGAGTGAAATTAATTTGAGTGAAGGAAAAGTATCAATTTTAAGATAAACAGTTCTAATCAAGTATGTTCCTAGTCTGAAAAATGAGAAACAGAAAGTGAGATGTTGCCTTTTAGTGGCTGTAAAAACCGAGAAAACCATCATGCTTTGAGTTGCTAAAAAGAAATGAAAGGATCTAGGGTTCCCATTAGAAGCGGAAAAGCCAGATTTATAGGGCTTTTAAAAGCTTATTAAAATAACCAAATGTCTAGAATTGGAAATAGATTTCTGTGTCTTACATGGGAAGGGATCCGTTTAAGTTTTTTCCTGATACTCTTATGAAATCATTTTGAAATAGAATAGCAAATCAGCAACAGCTAGGACTTTGACCATCATGTTTGCACTTTATTGTTTAAATTTTTTAAAATACTGTCATGTTTATTTTTGTTTGAACTCTGAAGCAAATATGCTAGTGCAGACAATCTGGTTTCTTCCCTCTTCCTGTTGTCATTGGCATACCATTGGCACAACCCATGTCATCTAACGCCTCATGACCTATCTGTTTCACTCACCACCCATCCTGTCTGTGCAGCGAGCTTCTCATGCTTCCCAGAGCAAAACGAGGACGGAGCGCAGAATGCCTGCACACCACCAGGTAAACGCAGGGGTTTGGTGCAGCGACTGTGTGCGATGACTCCCCACTCTACTCTGCTTGCATCTCCCCTCAGCGGTATGATTACAAATACGTGCAATTAATTTACCCAGTATTCAAAATTGGTTTTGTCTCATATGGAAGTTGTGGAAAAGGTTCCAATATATTTGAATTCTGATCCAGGCAGACTGCTTTTCTGTTTGGACGTTCAAAATCCAGAGGTTAATGAGCCTCTCTGCAGAACTGTTTACATATTCCCAAAACCAAGGAACCGATTTCTGCAATTAAAATTCTATAACCTTGCTGTGAGGGGTCCCCAGGCCTGCCACATACACCCATCAAGACACAAAAGTCTGATCTGTGCGTGGCAGTGTTACTGTTTGCATCATTATAAGTTTGCTTTGTTTTAGCCTTTTTTTTAATAAAATTTTTGTCTGTTTCATATTCTATTGTTGTTTTCTTTGTTTGATTTTAATAAAATCTTGACTGTTTTCATTTTTAATAGCTGAGCTTCAGTTCCTATCTTGATAAAAAGTGAGGATATTTGACATGTAAACTTCCAAACCCTCCAGTCCTTCATGCCCCCACCGGTTCAGAAGTGCTCCACTACAAACATTCTCATGAAAGCACATAAGAGTATGAAGGCTTTTTAAAGATGAGAACGAAAGGGGGCATAATACTGTCCTCTAAATTGGAACCTAGTGCTTTATTTTCATCGTGTTACATCTCTTAGATCTCATATCCCAGATAAATTGTCTTACAGATTACTTACAAGATAACCTGTGCATATTTATTGTCAGTATGGAGTTAATAAAAGGGCAAGAAGTAATAATTCAGTAAAGCCAACAAACCAACACACAGACAAACTCTTTCAAATATTGTGGCCAGTAAAGTGTAAGTAGGAAAGAGAATGAAGGAGCTGTACCTGGAAATCCTGCCAGTGCCCACACAGGTTTATTTTGTCTTTGAAGACATGGGCTTCTGCTGAGGTGGTGAACATAGTCACTCCCATGGCCACGGCAGCACATGTGCTTACCACAACTACATGCTTAACACGCATAAGCCCTAATGTTTTACACGTATAAAACTTCCCTTGAAATAAAGATGGCTTCGTGTGCAGTGCCACAGGGAAAAGTGAGGAATGTCAGTTCTGCTTCCAAACTGGAGAAATCATGTCAAATCATAACTATTATAAAAATCAACTGAGATTCTTTTTTGCTGAAGTTTCCAGCCTTACTATTAGTTGTCCTGACAAACAGTTTAATAGGAATGATTTCTTTACCGATTCAGAAAGTTTTCTCTATTCCTGTTGACATGACTCCAACCATAAAACAAAAGCAAAAAACAGCCTTCATGTTTATTAGGCACCAAAGTGTGAGTATTTTTAACACTCTTACACCAATAATATATATAGAATTAGTAAATATATTGTTTTTCTTTCCCTTATATTTCATTTCTCAAGGTAAAATACCATAATATGCATGATAAAATAAACTAGTAGTTTCATCATTTTGTTAAATTATATCATCAAGATACAGTCTGTCATATTCACTTATGAGTTTTAAGAATGAAATCTATGGATTTACTACTTTTCAGTAAACAAGGAAAATAACATTCATTGACTACAAAAAACTGTGCTAATTAATTAATGTATTTTTTCTCATCCTGACAAAGTTATATCACATTAATATTATTGCCTTCATTTCCCAGTTGAGGAAAGAAGCTAAGAAAGTTTTATTTGATATGTAACTTAGCAAGGATTCAAAATCAGCTCTATTGGAAGTTTTCCACTAAACTATTTTTTACCCCCCCAAAATTTGACAAGGAGTTAGTCTTGCACAGAGTTCAACCTGTTTAAGAGTTTGCAAGTCAAACATATTTTGAAAACTTTGCAAATTAAAATCAGTGCCTAGATTTTATATGCAAAGCATACCAAAGTTGTGTGCTACAGATATGTGTCCCATATCATTTAATTCATCCCCTCCTATTATTGTCATATCAAATAATCTTTTCATAGAGCATTTCCTGAGAAAGTCATGTGGTACAGAAAATGCTGTGGCTTCCTTACTGTGTCCTAGATCCTTTGTACCTGTTATTTCATTTAATGCTCATGGATAGCATCCCCATTAAAGATTATTTCTCCCATGATACAGACGTAGAAAAAGGCTGGATGATTTGACTTGAATCACCCAGGTTCACAGTCAGTAAATGGCAGTCAACTGTACCTTCATTCTGTAAACTGTGTGCTATTTTTCATTGTTTCCATTCTCTTCTGACCCCAATTAGAGTGTACTCCTCCCCAAATCATTTTTGAAGCAATTACTTAGAGAAGTTATATGGCAACCTGTTTCGTAAGATAGTTGCCTTAGGTTTAGGAGTTGAGAAGAGGTTTCTATTGTTTGTGAGGTAGGCTGAATCATTTGCTTCAGCTTAAGTGGCCTTAACTGGTGCTTGAAGGTGATACTTTAGTACATTTTAAACAAACGTTTTAAGAGATTTCCCAATTCAACCATTAGTATAAACATGAATAAACTGGGGGAGTGGGTGTTTGATATTTAATATGTCCTAAGCAAATGTTTAATCCATTATCAATTTATCAAACTTTAAGCCAAATGGGCAAAATATTTTCATAATTGATAGTTAAATTTGTAGAAATATTATTAAATTTAAATTATCAAAATATTAATTGACTGGGACTTGTTTGTCCTATAGATGGCCAGAAACCCTCATAGGTTTTAAGTGAATTCAGGTGAATTCACTTGTTTCTGCCGTTTTTTCCGCCAAATCAGAGTTAATATTCTGATTTCAGCTAATATCCATCTCACCCAGTTTCCAGTGATTGTTAGCTGTTGCTGGGTTTGTATCCAAAAGCTGATAAGTGGAAAGGACTCGCCCTCATGTAGTCATCTGCTCATCTTCCTCCTTTACTGCCTGGTCAGTACCATGACCAGCCTTTTCCCCAAAATACTGGTTAGCATTTTCCTTCTTATTAGGATATTAACTTTTAGTAATATTAATTCCCAAGTTTCATGAATTATTTGGTTAGTGCTTTTAACCATGAGTTGTTACTTTTCCAAACAAGTAGGTATAATATTAAATCAGGAGTTAAATAGTAAGTTTCATGCCTGTTACTAGATAGAGTATAGGTCACAGATCTTTTCAAATTAAGGCTTTTGAACTATACTTTAGAGTCTCTTAATTATGCACAGAGATGTTTGTAATTCCATATTTAATAGTTCTCTTCCTACCTTCAAATTATCAAGGTGGTCCTTCTGAGAAAAACGAAAGATTGGTCTTTTTAGCTTTCTAGGCCTCTTACTTATTTCATGTTCTAATAAAACTCACTTCATATATATTTTTCTGTTTCCTGCGTGTCTCCATTGCCACGTTCCAGACATCTTGTTAGGCACTATAAAACATTACCGCCTAAGATGCCCTTATTAGAGAACTGTTCTCACTGGGATATTTACAGGTAAGAGTCATAACAGTGAGTCTCAGTTACAAACTAATGCCTAATCCCCAGCCTGCTGAAAATAGCAAGTGTACATTCCAATAAGACATTAGCGTTTCTTCTTAAAATTAATTATATACTCAGAAACACTAATGACTTCTAAAAATAACTTTAAGGGAGGGTAGGGGGAGGGTAAACTGGGAGACTGGGACTGACAAATAAAACACTATATATAAACACTACTGTATTTAAAGTGGTAACCAATCAGGACCTGCTGTGTGGCACAGGGAACTTTACTCAATACTCTGTAATAACCTATATGATAGGAGAAGAATCTAATAGAGAGTGAATATACATATATATACATATATATACATAAATATACATATGTGCACTATAAAACGGATTCACCTTGCTGCACAGCAGAAATGCAACAGTGTAGAAAAACTAATAAAACTTAATTGAAAATAAAATTAAGATGATTTAAATGATAAAACTTACGCTAGCATACTTCTCTAAATGAAATCTATATACTCAAATGTCAGGTTTCTAGTCATTGTCATCTTTTTTCTTTTTTTTTTTTGGCTGCGTTACTTGTTGATTTTAATTATGAGAATTAATTTCTAGTCATTGTCATCTTTTTTCATTTTATTTTTTTGCTGTGTTACTTGTTGATTTTAATTATGAGAATTAATTTATTTTATTTTATTTTTGGATAATTTTACTTTGTGGAGCTCAATCCTGCCTGCACGTACCAAAACCAAAACCCTTCACCATGAATGCTTTCACTCGAGAGCACTGAGGGTTACTGATGAGATTCTGGTTGGGTAAGGACGTTTGGACGTCATCCCTCCCGCCTCCCCTGTCCAGCGTTTGATCCAGAGTAGCTGAGTTGTCCAGTTTTCCTCCTCTGTTTGTCCTTCATTTTGTTTTGGTGTGGCATCTGTCCTTGGTAACGGAGTGTTAGGCATTGCGTTTCACTGCTTTCTGTATCCAGTTTTCTCATGAGTAGGTGTGATTTAGTCTTTTTTTTTTTTTTCCAGTCTGAGACCCTTTTTAAAAATTATGCGAAGCAAGTCAAGCATAATATTTGTTTAGTGCCACTTTCTAAACAAAATTGTGCATGGCCATCCTGTCGGTGCTCACCCCGTATGAACGCGGCGCAGTTGACCCTGCAGTTTGTGTACAGGGGTAGGACTGGATGGTTTCCTCTCTAACTGGTCTTCCTCTTTCTGTTTTCTCTGTCTTCTTCCTCCACCCTGGATGCAATGCACTGGCACTAGTGACCTGCAGCCCTCCCTTGACAGGGCGAGGAGTGCTAGTACCAACTGCTTGAGACCAGATGCTAGTTTGCATTCACCAGAACGAGAAAGGTATACAGTAAAGACTTTCTTAATCTCCTATCATTTCGTAGTGTCACTTTTTTTCCCCATCACTGTGTTTCGCGTCTCGGAGCCTCACAGGTTGTTCATCCATGTTCACATGCTGCCTGTCTGCCTCTCCCCTCCCTCCCGTCCAAGTCCATGCGGAGATATATGTGTACGTGGGGGAGCCCAGGGCACACATACACATATTTCCGTGCGTGTTGTTGCGAATGGCGTGATGTGATTTGTAACTGCTTGTGGCTGCTGCTTTTCCCTTTTGTTGCCTTTCTGTGGTTTTCTTTACATCTGCTCAGGGAGCCTTCAGTACGCTGATATGGTTATGGGGACAGGGAGTTATCTAAAGGAGAAAATCGCATAGTAGATCTGCTGATAAATAGTTCCTGTAGGTTCAACAGCAATCTTCTCTAAACTCAAAACAAGAATCTTCTTTAGATAGAGTACTTCCTTTGTGCATCTACATTCACTCTTTTAAATCAACTTTCTCTTTGATATAGATCCTGTTTTTATTAAATTATGTTTTGACAACAAAATGTGGTATGTTTATCATAGATTTCCTGATGCTTACAAAAATAAAGTGAAGTTGCTCAGTCATGTCCAACTCTTTGCGACCCCATGGACTGTAGCCTACCAGGCTCCTATACACACATACATAATTTTGCTTAACACTTTCAATTAGTCAGTTAAAGTCTGATTTTAATTTAAAGGTATTCAGTGATCACGTTTTAACCTGTCTTCTATGTGAGCAGCTAATTTTCTGGTGGAATTTTCTATTCCAGTAAACTTGGTTATATTTTATAGTGTTTGTTATAAATGTTATCTCTCTTCAATTAGAAGTCATTCACGGGAGATACTACTTCATCACAAATCCTGAAAAAAAGTGTTTCATTGTGCTAATGTAACCCACTTTTCCTCTTCTTTTGAGGCTATTTAAAGCTTTGCTTTAGCAATCTTTATAGTCTGATTCTATGCATTTATGAAACATTTATTTCTAGAATTGAATAATAGGTTCAGGTAGACATATTCATTTTCAGTGTCTTCATAAGATTATTCCAAAAAAATCTGCTTTTTAATTTTGCATTATTTTGTATTGGCAACATTTATGTTAGAAAACAATGGAATCTAACTTACATCTTGTATTTTTTTTTACATTTGTAAGAGTAAATTTGTACATAATTAAAGAGTACATTTGTACATTTTAGTTGAAATGACTATAGGCTCCACTAAAAGCACAATTGAAAATTGTTTCACTCTTTGCATTTGTTTTATATTATGCTTCCCCAAACAATTATAAGAGTAGCAAGAAAAATATTTTATATTATTTCCTTATATGTTTTGAGTTGATGTTAAATCAAGGGTAGAATGAATCAGTGGAACCTGCTGATGGTAGAACACCACCCGAACATCTTAAATATCATCTGTATTAGTTCTGTCTAATAGAAGTATGATTTGAGTCATAAGTATAATTTAAAATTTTCTGCTTGCCATCTTAAAGATGTGAAATTACTTTAATACTTTAGTAGGTATGTGAGCTGTTATCATTCTAACATATAATCTAAAAACCTCTAGTGAGATATTCAGCTTTCCTTTTTTTCACAGTGCTCTGTGGCCACTGCAGTGGACAGTGATATGTTATTTTGTTGAATCCTGTCTAGCATGTGTTCTCTTGTTGTGCTGAAGCTATAGAATTCACAAACCCATATGCTGCTGAATTTAATCTCTCAGAAATACCCTTAGAACAGGCCAACCTGTAGGCAGATAATCCAGCCACAATTATTTTACAGGTCATAGTGAAGTCTGAGGGCACTCACTTGTGATATTTAATTTTGATAGAAGAAAATAAAATATTATTGAAACTTATGTTCACTCTATGTATTTTAAAAAAACAAAGAAATTTCCCCTTAAAATGAAAAAGGAACAAGAATTCAAAAATCGGTATTACTAATGATATTTGATTTATTGGGGCCAGTTTCTTGTCAAGAAGAAGCTAAAATAAGAAGGGTTTTCATCAGGAAGGTTGCAGACATTATAGATGCATTTTGGTGTGGAAGGTGCTGCTCATGCACATTCAGACCTGTGAACAGCTTTGAGACAGGACAGAACGGGGCCAGCAGCGGCGGCTTTGTGCTTTTTGGAAGATGCACTTGTCCATCCACAGATAGGACGTGAAGGCACTGGGGTGGCTTCCAGGGTTTTCCAGTTTACGTAGCTCTTGTGATGGAGCAGAGAGCTGGTTAACGCCTGACACGTACATAGTAGACACAGTGTTAGAGGAAAGTTGTTAGACATGTAAGTTCATTTTCTTGAGATAGTACCACGTTTCCACAGCTTTATCACCTGTTGAGGTTAAGCAGTTTGCTGACTCTAAACCATTTTGATGACCATTTCTATGGTGTTCTACCTACTTAGGAGGCTTTTCTGAAGTTTCCTTACTAACCTTGGGAGCAGAGGAAGTTCTGTGTTAGTACAAAGTGTGAAATTGTTAAAGCTGAGTCAACACCCACCACCGCACGTCAGTCATGATTCCAAGATATAGGAGCAACAGCCACAATTAGCATGTTCTTCTCCTGAACTACCCCAAAACTCTCAGAATGACCTTGTCTTCCTTAGAAGAATGGTTTGGCCCGGGTTAAGAGATAAATTTCCATATAAGCCAACAGAAGCCCTGTTTTCGAAGGAGGTCATTTCTGTGTTTGAGCACCTCTGGTATGTATTCTGTGGATTGCACAACTAGAAAAAACACATACTACCCTTAGCCCCATCCAGTCATGACCCGTAAGTCAAGAAATTTGAGGTTCATTTACAGTGGAAGATAACCAGAAAGACTGGTTTCGTCCAACTGAAGACATCTAATGGAAATGGCTGGCTTTCATCTTTTCTCCAGCAAATACCACTGCATGTTCACAAGGAGGTCCGGTCAGGTCCTTGTACTTTCCTTCCTCTGTGTCAAGGTCAGCTTGAGGTCATCAGTTCTCCCTTGTCCCTGATCTCAAAGGAGTGAGTTACATGTCTGCTCCTCGCCTTTCCTTTCCCAGATTTTCAAACAGCATGTCGCTTACGTATCCAGAAACACTGATTTTTAGAGCCGCTGGAGAATGAGTCCTTTTCTTGGATGCTTTATCTTCTTCTTAGACCTTTTACAAAAACCGCAGCCTTACTAAACTCCATCAGAGAGTAGTCTGTACTTCCCACATCGTTTTTGTACCTCCCAGAGAGTTCTGCAGTCCCACCGCTGTGCTAAAACCCTGCCATGGGTTAGCTTGAGCTCTGCTGGCCCAGCAGCATTTTACAACATTTTACAGTCACCGCTGCCTCTAGAATCTTTCCTTTCTCAAGCACCCTCTACAAATTCCCTAGTGCCTCCATGTCAGGTCAGTCTCCTTTACAGGTTTCTTTTCCCCCTGTCTCCCTCTCAGCTTTCCTCTGTTGTTCACCCATCCCACCTCTGAAATCTTTGTCTATCAAAAGTGTCCACACTAATACCTATGAGGACCACAGTCCACTGTAGCTGGTCAGGCCAGACCTTCCCCTGAAAATGCCTAAATTCCTCAGTGATTGACAGACCCTGCGGGCATCAAATTCACTACCTCCCCTCACACCCTTTGACAGCAAAGTGCTTTGTTTTCTGACATGTCCCTGTGCTTTGCCAAATTTGACATCTAACCATCCACATAATCTGGAAATGCTTCTCCTGCCCCTTTTGTCTCACTGAATGAAATGGTAAATCCTATCCGTTCCCCTTCAAGAATCTTCAAAACAGACCCTCCCCTTGATTATGCTAAAGTCCTCCTCCACTTCCGGTGTCATTCCTGCCCCTAAATTTCTCATAATCTCTCCTAATCATTCTGTTAGTTTTTGTATGAAGTTGTCTTTGCATTGAAATTAAAATGTCCTTTTCCTTTTGTTGTTATTCTCATTTTTCAAAACGGGGGTCAAATAACCATGTCTCCTGTAAAACTTCTCCTAACCTCCCTCCCTCTGCCCCTCCCACTTCCCTTTCTCTGCCAAGCAGAATTGCCGATTCTCTTTTCTGGATTCACATAGTATTGCATACTCTCTATTTCACTTAGGCGTGTATTTTTCCCTTTTACTAGATTTTTCTCCTGGAGGGCAGGGATCATATCTGATTCGTCCTTGCTGTCTGTTGCAATAGCATTATTATTATCATTATTTTACTTAGTAAATGCTCAGTTTGGAGATTTGAGGGCAGTTAAAAAAACACTCTCTATTTTCTTCTCCCAAGTCTGTGTCCAGTTGTGAACTCGAGCCAGGAACTGCAAGGTGGGAGATCTAGTCATCACCATAAATGCAGTGAACAAGTTCAGGAGCTAGACTTCAGGCCGTAAGCTTGCTGATGGCTCAACAAGAGGCTGAACCACAAGAAGCTTCTGCTGTCTGAAGACTGTTGTGTAGATTTGCTTGCTCTTGTGTCTGCTGTTTTGCAGTCAGACAGATTTGGAAAGAGGAATCCAGAGAGGACTAAGTAATCTGTGCCTGATTCTTTAACACAAACACCCCCACTCCCTCCTTGGGGTGGACAGATACCCAAGGCAGGACTTGAAAGAATTTCCCTCCACGTGAAGACACGAGGCCTAAGATAAAGAAGTTCCTACCTAAAACTTAACAGCTGTTAACTTGAATTGAAATAGATAAACCTTATTCCAAAATATAAGTACCTATATTAAGTTAAATTTTAAATAGTATTGGGGAAATGTTTTAAAGAACTCCATAAATAATGAGGATAGAGCATAAAAATACATACAATCAATTCTCTCCTCTGGTCAGGTTTGGTTTCTAATATTATAGAACTTCACAGATACTTTTTATGTGTGCTGCTTATGGAATGAAGGATCTGCATTTCCAAATACTTTCTCTTTCAGGTAACTAAAGCAGCTTAGCCATGTCCTGCCAAGAGTTGTGCACCACTGAAAGCTGTGTACACATGCAAGCATGTATACTAGTTACACATTTAAACACACGTGCATTTGGTTTGAGGTATATCCATGGTGGGGAAAAGCCCCAATGTAAGAACCATTTGATTGCTTACTGAGGACAGTCAGTTCTCAGTCCTTGTATCTCCTCACCACTATTGACTTCTCAGTTTAGTTTCTCATTATTTCTTACCAGGATTACCCCCAAACCTCAAATCTTATCCTCTGTATTATCTACTTAAATATTCGCAGACATTTATTCATTACTTATTCTGTGCTGTGCATAGCTGATGTCACTGCCAAAATAAAGCCAAACAAAACTTTGTAGCCCCTTATTTAGGGACCCCCCTCTGCGCCTGCTGCTTCGTCCCACAGCCATCAGAGTGACCTTTGCCACCCTGATCTGAGCCCAGTGAAAAGGATGAGCTCTCAGCAAACAGACTTCCTGCGTTAATGAGTTTAAAGTATCTGAGATTAAAGCATTAACAATGTAATTTGCAGGCAAGATGATCTGGAAAGAGAAATCAACAAGCAGCTGTTTTAGTTCAGATTTGCGATGAACGCCCCCAGCATAGCCTGCCGTGCTCACTTCTAGCACGAAAATGGATGCGGAAGGTGTTTCATTCAGTAATCGTGAATAAAGATTCTTACTTTGATCCTCTTCATCTGTGTGACAGGAGGAACAGAGAAAGAAGTTGCACACATTTTAAAACTTATAAAACATTAGTATATTTAATGCTCATAAATGTGTGTTATTAAAACTTAGGTACTATCTGATCTTTTGGGGAAAAAAAATAGGTATAAATTGATCCTGCTCTTTTCATGTCCAAGATGCAAGGGAAAAGCAAACCTTCCTTTTATTGGGACTACATATCAGCATATTCAGAAGGACTTTGAGTGTACAGATATGAATGTATGATGCTAAATGTTTCTTCAGAATCTCCCTTTAATAGCTTGCATTCACTGTGCCTTGTTTCTAAATGTACATCTCTCTTCTTCATGGCTTTCCGTGCATGTTTCATTATTATAGCATTTTCTTTAACTTTTGCATTTAAATAAACACAAGGACTGGAATTTTGCCTCAGGAAGCAAGGTTATTCATAATCCTGTCAAGTGAATACTGCTTATTCCTTCAGAAAGGTTTAAAGAAAATCATATTGACTCTATATTTGGATTTTCAAGGAATACCTTAAGCTTTCTCATGACTGAGTACTATTTCGTGTACAAAACACTATAGCTGTAATTCTCTTTAAAAACTTTAGAAATATTTTTCTTTATTGTGTCTGTAGAGCAAAAGGCAGTAAAAAGATATTTTTTCAAGCCTTTCAATTGAGTTGACCAGCTATTTAAATCATTTAAAATAATTAACTCACTTGAATGCAAATTTATTTTTAATTTCACAAACACATAACACATTGCAGAGTACATGCCACACAATTTTGTCTTCTGCCCAAATTCTGCTCTCGAGTATCTCTACTTGCTGCACCAGTTGCACACAGCCCTCCTTGAATCCATCCAAAGCTGAGAGATGATGAACAGGCTTCCCGGAGGTTCTGAGATGAGCTGCTTTTGTGCAGATTGTCTGATAAATCCAGGAAGCCAAGTTAATTAATGGCAAAGAAAGATGGCTTTTAAAAGATATTAGGAAAAATAAATAAAAGATATTAGGATTGGTCTTCTTTATATTGTTATAAGATCTTATGGTTAGATGAGTCTTAAACACCATTCAGTGATCCCTTGCTACATATGAGGAAGCCAGTATGCAGAGAAATTACCCTGCTTGCAATGTGCATATCTAATATATTAAAATTTCCAAAATTGGGCTGTTTAGTCCCCACTGCCTCTTTTCAGTATTTGCCCAGATGTTTGTAATTTGTAGTTACACAGACAGCACATCAAGATAGTTTAACAAAAAAATGAACCCAGTTTCGAATGTTTATTTGACTGTTAATCATAAAAAATTAGTATTCTTCTAAATGCTGAAATAAGAAAACAACTATGTAACTCACTGATAGATACTTTTGCAAGTTAAGGTTAGTGGACTATTTTAAAGGTAATGCTATTTTACTGTGGCATTTATCTGCATTTCCCACTTCTATACATCAGTGGTTTTTGTTCACAGTATTTTAATTTCAATTATTAACCCTCAGTTTTCCCCAAGGGAACTTGTTTAGACTTCACTAGCAGCATTTCCGTGAGTTATTTCTTCATGTTATTGTTTCTACACTAGAAAGTACATTTATTTCTTCTGTTTTATATCAAATGCACATCTTTGCCACTTTAATCCAGTAATTTCAAGACCTTGTATCAAGTAAGCATTGGTGGCTTCTTAAATCTATTTTATTCAATATCTGCTAGATTCTTAAGCTTGCATACTTGTAAAGTTTTATATACATATATGTATAGTTATATACATACATATATATAGATGTGTGTCTGTAGATATACAAAGACACACAAGCACATTGAAAAGAAAAAAAAATACACAATATATTTCAGACATCTTCTCAAATAAGTTTCTCTATTCACATATAAGGCTACCAGTTTTCTTTTCTTGCAGTATTATCATATATCTTTCCAAGGCTTGTAAAACTGAAGAATACATTATGGAGCAAAAAGCCTTCACTTTGCCTTTCTGGGGTGCTTTTCCAGTCCTCTTGTTCCATATATTCTTTTACTTTAGGAGTTACTAAATGTCCTGTTTTCTCCTGTCTTGTTCATTGGGCAAACAGGGGTAGATGGCCCCCCTCCCTAGATAGGAGACGGCCTCCTAGCCCCAGGATTCAAATCCAGCATGCGTCTCCGGAGAATGACAGGTACTTCCTCCTCCCGGACAAGTGGCTTCCAGAGGCTGGCAGGCCACCAGGTGGAGGGTAGCCAGACCCGTGTGGTTACTACGCCTTCCTTGCAGGGGCCAGAGCCCAAGAGGTGGAGATTCCAAAACTGAATGCGTCCGCCTCTGATGAAGCACCTCAGAATATTTTCTGAAATGAAACTAGCATGCACAGGGCGTGGTTCAAACAAAGAAAGTTGGGTCCAGTGGGAGAGTTTTGTTTTAATGAGCATTTATTTCAGGGTTTCAATTTTCCAGAAACATATTTAACTATTGCTTTTGTTTACACTTGACTACAATTCTCAGGTGCTTTAAGATATTTTGAAAACTATCACGGAACCTGATTTTTTTGTTGTTCTGATTGATGGTTTGATCTTCACCATCTTGTTTTGTAAATGATGAAGTTTAGGCTTTTAGATATATTCCCTGATTTAAGGTAGAATACCTGGTTCTTACCTGTTTTATGAATATTGTGTTTTTAAGCCAAGTATTGTCAAGGGCTAGGGTCAGTCATCAAGGTAGGTTTTTAAAAATAACATCAGTGCTTTGAATCCACTTCATGCTGTGATGTCATAAGTGCCACAATGTGTTTTTCCATTGCTTTGTTTTCCTTCTGGGGTGTATTAATAGTTCATCCAGTTCTCCTATTTTGTGGTAGTTGTTATACATAGTGCGTATCTTTTCCCAACTGGCCATGAAAGGCTACAGGCGTTTTGGTGATTTTACTTCTGGTGAAGCAGAAATTCAGTCAACACACGGGTGACATTTATTAAGCAGATAAGCAGATGGAGTATCTCAGATATGGAGCAACCAGTCATACCAGCACACAGGTTTTTACTAATTTATCTTTTAGTATGTGTGTATATAGTAAAGTAATTGTACCTTTAGTTAAGAGTGATATGATTTACTTTCTGTATCTGTAAATTGTCAAGATATTGTCAGATTACAATTTGAAAGAAAAAGCAAACATCATTACTCAGAAAAAAATGAATAAGTCATCTTAACAAATGTTGGACCCCAAGATGACATTTATGGAGGCTTTTCAAATATTTTATTATGCTTAAATCTTTAAGACCTTAATATGACTTACATATTTGCAGTTTAAATCTAATGTCTTCTACTGCTGTCTGATTTCTAGGATAATAGAAATAATTTCTATTTATTATAAACTATAAATAATTTCTGTTATCCTAGAAATCAGACTAGAAACGTTAGTAAAATCTCCAATCTAAACATTATTATAAACATAAAGTCTTTTTGAATAGGAATATAAAATAATAATGTAAATTAAATTTTAAAATGTGCATCCACAGTGCTACTCATCCATTCAACAAATATTAATTGTGTGCTTATTTATGTGCACCCGTTCTAATGGCTAGAATCACAGCAGTGTTTAAGAAAAACACAGTCATGGCCACCAAGGAGATAAAACTTCCTTTTATGGAAGGCTATTTTGGATTTAATTTTATGTAATGACTGCTAGAGTATAAGACGATTAAGTATGATGGTCTTTGTAAATGAATATAAACATAAATTTGGCTGGGTTTAGAATGGAAATCCAAATAATAATTTCAGTTCTTAACATATGTGAGATGAGGATTAGTTGAAAGTTAGTTGTCTTTTAATAACAAATTAATAATGACATTTGATTTAATAGATTGTATATATCATTGTAAAGGTACATGTTAGAAGCAGAAATACTCCTTTTAGATAAGATTATTAAATGAAAGTCTTCCTAATAAGTAACAACTTATTCCTCATAAGTAATTCTGAGTGCACATTTTATTTGCTATCATAATTTATTTGTAAGTAAGTTCTGTGTCTAACAAAGGGAAATACATTTTAAATGGCTTGATCCTATGATTTATTACTGTAGGGAACAATATTATTTATAGTATTAAAATATACTTTTATTAAAATATGAGTAACAAGTACCATAAAAATGAGAAATTACTGTATCAGTTGATATAAAAAAAATTCATTGGTAACACTAGCAAACGCTTAATACTTGCTTTCCTTTTTACCTCTTATAAGCTTTATTTACTCACTTAGAATAATTTGCAAATGAAGTGAACATGGCATCAAATCTGGAGACAGTAAGAATTTGCCACCAGATAAATTTTGCACTAGGAAACTGGTAACTTAAAAAAATATTCTAAAATCAGTGACAATTTATATTGTCACTGGATGTCCTGCATACTTGGTTATTTTGAAAGCAGCATAGTAATACAAGAGGTAAATATTTGATTAAGACAGCTTGCTTGTGAGTTAGAAAGCATTGATTTGCTGTCTTATTTCACATAATGCATGTACACACACACACACACAATTTTTAATGTACCATTTCTTTATAATTTAATTTCAACAGTAAGAAATATTGATGTCATTTCAAGTGGTACAATAGCTTTATTAGGAATTAACATGGAAACATGTTTATCTAGATCAGAAAAATTTCCTAGAAGTTGTAGGATTTTTTGTAGGATTTGAGGAAATTGTAGGAGTTGTAGGATTTGAGGAAAAAATACATAAATCTGTAACCCCAGCTTTTTTTTTAACCTTAAAGTTTAGTGTATATTTTCTTGTAGTTCTATTACGAAAAATGTTGAAACTTCTAAGAATCACCTTTCCAATAACAAAGCATTTCTTTGTAAATGGCATTATTTTAATATATAAATAGTAGCTTTTATGAACCTGTGTAAACATCATTCTCTTATAAAATTCAGAGCTACTTATGGCTGCATATTTAACCAAAATTTATGAATAGCAAGTTAGAAAAAATGTATTTTAATAGACCCCTGAATCATCAGGTGTCTGAGTTCAGTGCTCACAGTTGAATCAGCCATCTTTAAATGTGGTGAAAGTGAAAGTGAAGTCGCTCAGTCGTGTCCGACTCTTTGCCACCCTTGCACTGTAGCCTACCAGGCTCCTCCCTCCATGGGATTCTCCAGGCACGGTACAGGAGGGTTGCCATTTCCTTCTCCAGGGGATTTTCCCAACCCAGGGTTCGAACCCGGGTCTCCCGCATTGCAGGTGGATGCTTTAACCTCTGAGTGTAAATTACTATCATAATTACTATCATTTAAATTACTTTTTGGTAAATGCTTTTTCAAGAAGACACATATATTCTTTTAAAATACATTAAAAATTGATAGTGACCATTCTAATAAATGTGAGTTGATAGAGTATTTTCTTATTTAGTGCATTTTAAGATGTATTTTAATGCTTCATTAGTTTGAAGGTACTGACTCCAGTGTTCTAATTAAAAATATTTTTGCATGCGTGTACATATTTTTGTGCATGGTATTTTTAAGGATGCAGTTTATTGATGTGACTTTAATAAAATGGAAAATATTGAATAAAATAACACTGTTTTTGAAAATTTGATTATTAGAAAAAGTAAAGTATCCCACTGTGTTTAAGATTAATTCTTGAATTACTCTGCTATTCTAGTTCTAACTTCTTTGAGAGTAACCAGATTTCTATAGTTGCCCACACTTGCAACTTGGAAGCAGCTACTTGCTAAAGAATTTTTAACCAAAAATATCATGTGGTACCTCTTATTCAAAGTGGATGGACCTTCTTTCTCCACTGAAAGTATTTCTAGGATAAAGAAATTATACACTTTTCCACTTCCAGAATTGATGATACTTTTGCAGTGTAGATGCAAAGTTAATGTAAAACTACTTATAAATTCAGGATACTACTAGTCATTTTTGTTTGCTTCATAACATTTATTATCTATGCTTTTCAAAAATGTCCTTAATTTTAAGGAATGAAATATACTCAGGTACTAAAATGCTTAGTCTTTTTAATGTCTGTAGTCATATACATAAATATCAATAATAAGCAAAAGGGTAAATGTATCTAAATTGTATGTGTCCATCTTCACTGCATATGAACACTTCTTAAGTAGATTCTTAATCTAAATTTAATGTTTTCTTACCAAAATTATGAGGAAACAAGATGATAGAGATTTGCATTTCACATCAGACCATCTGGAGAGTCAACCAGAATATATACAGAAATATTCTTATGACATCAGTGTTAATTATAATTAAAACATTATGTGGTAGAACTTATTATTCCCCAAAGCAGAACATATTATATTTTCATTTTATTAGCATGTTAATTTTGCACTTTAATTGTAGTATCTTTAGAAAAGTGGTGTTTATCAATGTCTTCAGGAAATTGTTCTGATTGAGCTTAGTTATTGATGAGGAAAGGAAAGTAACACAAAGACAGATTTTTAACAATTGCTTTTCATTTCATTAGTACATTTTATGAATCTTCATACTTAATCTAATAGAGAATGGTAATTGAAAATAGGACTTCCAGAAAATTAGCTTTAATTAGGAACAGCCCCCTCTTATGATTATTTCTCTTGCTTCCACTTAATGATACGATAATTGTTGTTGTAACGTATTTGAACAGACCTTTATAACTTTTAAAGAACCTCATTTGTGCCCTAAGAACTGGGCACAAAATCGTACAGCTATAAGTTGTCATTAAAGAAAAAACAACAAACTAAGGGTTTTCTGATTCTTTCATACCTAAACCAAAGAAACATTCTTTAAGAATAATAAAAGTTAATTAAAAATGTTAATGTAACAAAATGCATGTTAAAACCCCAAATAGATAAGACATGATGGAAATGCTATCACTGTTTTATTTGATTTTGTTGAGGGATCCCTTCAATGACCATCAAGTCATTCAGAGTTGCTGGATGGCAGAGGGGCAGGATCGTGGGCGATGGCAGCGCTGTCCTCCCCAACTGACTCTGGCCCATATCAGTCACTTAACCTTCCTGGGACTCATTTCCCTATCTATAGATTTAGGTGGGTGTAGATGGATTAGCTGAATTCTGACATCCCTTAAGACTCTAAAACTGAGTCCATGCTGCCTGATTGCATCATGCTGAACATGCATTGGGCCAGTAGTGATAACTCTTCCTTATGCATAAGTCAGTAACCAGAATGCATTTCTTATATATGGTATTTTATGTTTTACTGATGATCAGAAAATAATGTATGTCTAAATTGATTGATATAAGCTGAATTGTATAATCCTAGTTAGATTTTTAACTTGTTATAGTCTTTTAGCCTCTTAAATTCCAGTAGGATACTCAAAATACTACTTTTTAAACCACCTGTTTATTCCACATATATTTAACAAGAAGCTACTATGTGCTGGGTGTTGATGTTTCAATATAAGCCAGATACAGTGCCTGCCCATAAGGAACTTAGGAAAGAATAGTGTAAGGTAGAAGGTAGTTCCTTTCACTGTGATCCTTTTTATGATTCTGTGGCCAGTAGTTTCAGGAAAACAGTACATGAATATAAACTGATGGTTTTAACCCAGGTGGTGCTAGTGGTAAAGAATCTGCCTTCCAATGCAGGAGATGTGGGTTCAATCCCTGGGTCGGGGAGATTCCTTGGAGTAGGAAATGGCAACCCGTTCCAGTATTCTTGCCTGGGAAATTCCGTGGACAGAGGAACCTCACAAGCTACAGTCCATGGGGTTGTGAAGATTCAGGCAAAACTGAACGACTAAGCACAAGCACGTTTACACATCACAAAACTATTCCAAGAAAAGTCTGTCTTTACCGTGTACAGTATATTCAGAGGAAAGACAGTAGAATTTTCTATTTTCTTTTCTGTTCTTGCTTTATACTGAATTATTACAATCAACTGTATGTCATTTTAACTTAACTCCAGGATTCTTTTAAGTAGTTAGAAAAATTATAAGGACATATCCTTTGTAGAAAGCTTTAGAAGAATCGTCAATAAAGTAATTGTCTGAAGCATTTGAAGAGAAAAAAAGGAGCATCCTTAAATAGAGGGTTAAAAACAAAAGCAAAAACAAAAGTTAGACACATGAACCTCTGCATGAATATTTACCATCTAGTTATGGGGCACTGACTCTGAGGTTGATACTCTGATAGATGAGGAAGAGTTTTTACTTTAGGGAAACAAATACATATTATCATTTTAAATAATACTTTTATAGCATTGATCTCTTGCTATTCTAAGTACTATAAAATCCTTGTTCTACATCGTACTACAAATACTATAATACAAATAGTAATACTGACATATTTAGAGTTAGCATCTGTGAGGTGATAGTATTTTTGCCACTTTGCAAGTAGAAGAAACCTGAGGCACATAGAGATTGAGTAAATTGACTAAAATCACCCAGCTGTTCAGAAAGCGGGCAGGACCTCAGTTTGGCTCTAGGGTCTATGTTTTTAGCTGCCATGATCCAGTGTCATTTAAGCCACAGATGCAATGTGTTCACAGACACTGAGATCATAGACTCTCAGTTACGTTGTGGTTTGACATGCAGGGTCCATGTAAGAGCAACTGACTTCACCCCTGCAAGCCTCAATCTCCTTCTTCTTAAAAGGGTGAAAGAGAAGTGTGCCTTCATGGGATTGATGAGCTTAGATGAGAAAAGACAGCAAGTTCTTAGTAGATGTTTGATATTGTTAATATCAGCACTGTCATCATCAGTATCACCAAGTACTGTCATGATCAGTCTTACATGTGAGCCCATTAAATTTTAGAGATGAGAAGAGGAAGAGTTGAAATTTTATAGAGGAAATAAAACCTCCATTGAATTCGTAGCAATGACTAGGGATAGGAGAAAAACAGAGGTTGTCTAAAGGATGCTCATCGCCTTTTCATTGCAGGGATGTAGAAAGTTGGTACAAAAGCCTGCCAGGTGCTTCTGGTCCCACCCTTTGCACCCACACACCCTTCCAGAGCATCTTTCTTCAAACTGTAACCTGCTTTTATCTGAGACCCCATCCCTCGAGCACGTCTCTGAACTGTGTTTCCCTGGTTGACTTTTTCTCATTGTTCTTATTATTGATCTAACATGTTATACAGTTTACTTGTTTGAGGGGTTCTTGTTTATTATTTGTCTTTTACCATAAAACACAAATTGTTTGAGGGCAGACATTTTGTCTGCTTTGTTCACAGACATAGCCCAAGCAGCTAGAGCAGCATCTGGAATATAAACACAGTATTTGTTCAGTGAGTGAGTGAACGAATGAATGAAAACACTTAGTGATTGTGAGTTTCAGGAACTGGCCTGAAACTCTGTGTCTTCACTTGGCGCTCACGCTTCTCAGAGGGGACGAGGGACTCTGGCTCTCTTGGTTCCAGGACACTCTTGGGACCAAACAAGTGTGTGTTAATCACTCAGTCATGTCTGACTGTTTGTGACCTCATGGACTGTAGCCTACCGGGCTTCCTTGTCTGTGGAATTCTCCAGGCAAGAATACTGGAGTGGGTTGCCATCTCCTTCTCGGGGGGATCTTCCTGACCCAGGGATCGAACTTGGATCTCCCGCACTGCAGGCAGACTCTTTACCATCTGAGCCACCAAGGAAACTTGGGTCCAAGTGTAAATTTCCCAAATAGTTGTTTGGAGCTCAGGCCCCTGGGTCTGCAGACCTCTTTCCTCTGCCTCCCCTCCTGATCACTTCCTGCTCTGCACCCGATACTTCCCTCTGCTCCAGGAGAAAACTTTGTCTTCCTCATTGATCACAGGCATGTGCTCAGGACTCCTATGCACTCCTGCACCCTTGGGCCTGACGTAACTGGACCTGTCCTGGACACTTAGAGGATCTGGCATTAATTTATCAAAAGAATAGAGATGAGAGACTAGATCTTAAAGGTTCCCATCACAAGAAAATTTCTGACTTGAGTGGTGATGGATATAGACCAGGCTCATTGGAGTTGCCATTATGTCACGCATCTGAAGCTAGTATGATGATATATGCCAATAACATCTCAAAAAAAAAAACAAAAACAAAAACAGTTTTCTCCTTAACATTGTTGGAAGGAAAGGATATCAGAAAATAAAAATAAACTGTAGGCAGCCAGTTATCTGAAGTGAGAGTCTTTCAGTTGTGTTTGACTCTTTGCAACCCCGTGGACTGTAGCCCAACCAGGCTCCTCTGTCTGTGGAATTATTCAGGCAAGAATACTGGAGAATTCTCTTCTCCAGGATAAACTTTATTGCCTTTAAAGTTTCTCTCTTTTTTTTTTTAAAATAAGTGAGCTTCTTGACCACAGTATTTTTTTATTTATTTCAAGTATATTGTAGTCCAGACACATTTTAGGATGAATAGATGTATGTAAGCTGCCTTGGGGAGGTTAGTTCTATGCATAAGCATTATTTCTATGGAAATGCATTTCAAGTTTCAGATGTTCAATATACATAAGTACCTTTAGAATATAGAGTAAATTGCTAACTTTATTACTTCTTTGGTTTGTGATGGATGATTAGCTTTTTAAAATACTACACGAGTACAAAAGTATATGATAATTTTAAAAATAAATTGAATAGTTGATTTTTAAATACCATTCTTTATGTCAAACACATTTCCCTAGAGCATAATTTTGGAGGAGAAAAAAAGCAAAGGAAAACATCTTTGTAGCAGCAGGTTTGAGACTTTCAGGGTGGCGAGCACTCCCCCCGTGTGTGGTCTTTCAGTGCCTGAACCACGACTGTCATCATCTTTCTCATCACTGCGTTTCACCATTGAGTTTGTTTCCACTTCAGTTGCCAGCAGGAGTCTCCTGACATCTGGACTGTAGACTTTCTCGTCTACACTGGCATGGTGTCAGCTTCTGTGCCTCCTGGTGGGAAATTGTGTCTTCTACACAACACCAGTTCTCATTTTTGTTTTATTTTTAAGAAAGTACGGACTGACAAAACCATTTAGGTAAAATAGTTGCCATTTTCCATGTCAATTGCTTTTGTCATTGTAGAAGATGACCAGATGACTGTAGCGTGATTCCTCATGTGTTTTGTGTTTCTTTAACATTTCATTCCACAGGCACTCCAGAAAGTCTGAAAGATCTAGCATCCAAAACCAGACTAGGAAAGGCACTGCCTCTGACGCAGAAAGGTAGGCTTGATGTTGTGCTGTGCAGCATCTTCCATTCCGCTGAGATGTTCTGGGGCACCTCCTCTCTCGTTTCACAAGATCACTGTTTAAACACAATTGTGATGCTTAGAGAGACCTTCCTGTTGAGAAATCTCCTCCATGGGGATAACCTCATTCAAAAAATGAGAGATGGATAGTTTGAAGGCAAGTCTTAGGGCTTGCCCTAAGTCTTAGGGCTTAAGAAAAATCTCATGCATTTCTCTTAGTTATCATTCTGATCACTAAAAAATGATTAAATGCAGTGTAGTCCTATATACATATTAAGACATTAATATTTTGTTTCTGAGATTATTGAAATGTTACAAATGAATATGTTACCTGAAATATGCAAGTATTTTGAGTGTCTGTTATTTATCCAAATGATGCTATCTTCTTTAAAATCTTTTCTACAAATGCATAATCTGAGTCTACTCATAACTACAACTTAAGATACTCACTAAGTTAATGTAGAAATTAAGTGATTTCTTGTATTTTGTTCACAGTTTGTATAAAATTTTAAAGTGCTTTTAAAAAGGTTTAAGATACCGACAGAATTTTTGCATAGTTGTAAAAAAGAAACACCAACAATCCAATTAACGTATATCCACTCATCCCATCAGTATCGAGAATGTCCAGGGTGACATAGAAATAAGTGGATGCATGCATTCAGGTGTCACCACCGCCATAGAGGTGACGTGAGGCATAGTGAGAACACAGGAAAAGAGGCTGCAGGTGAGGTTAGGTGACCTAATCTAGGTGCATAAAAGTAGGTGTCAAGAAGAGTTCTCTGAGAAGGGAACAGTGTTCTATGAGAAGGGAACAGCATGCTATAACACTGAGGACTGAAATACCCTCTTGAGTTCGTGGAACTCAGGCTTACTTGGGACGACTCAGGAGATTGGAGAGAAGTTGAAAACAAAATGGGAGAAATTCTTAAAGATTGCTGAAAATGTGCTATAAATTCTCACACGCTGTGGTATAGAATTTTAACTTCCACCTTACTACTCCTTGAGCCACGGCAATTCCTTCCACATGATTGGTCTGAGTCCCAAAATGTAGACCACATGAACATCACTTTGGAAAGTGGCTTGAAAGACCCAGGGCTAGATGGGAAACACCCGCGAGGCTGTCATAAGAAGGAAACTTGGCGGACAGGGAAACTGCAGTTCAGTGGTCCATGCAGTCAACAAGTATGTACCAAGCTGTGTGTCCAGTTCAAGGAATAGAACAGCGAGCAACAAAGGAAAGCTTTCCAGAGGATAATACCTCTTAGGTGATGTTAGAAAAATGAGTAGGTATTAGTCACATCAAGCATTGTGGGTGAACAGGAGGTTGAATTGGTTTCTGGCTCATGATCTATGGAGATATGAACTATTTAGGCAACTTAACTTACAATGGAACAAGGATCCCAGGAACCAAAAAAAAGTGCTGAGTAGAAATTCAGTTTTGCAGAGACATTGAATAAATAGATACATACCCATCTTATAGAGATAGAAATAGATAGATGGATAGATACATACATACATACATACATACATACATACATAGATGAACCAGTAGATAAAATAGACCAATAGTGGTGATAGTGGTGGTTTAGCTGCTAACTTGTGTCTGATTCTTTGTGATCTTGTGGACTGTAGCTGGCCAGACTTGTCTGTTCCTGGGATTTCTGAGGCAGGAATACTGGAGTGGGTTGCATTTTCTTCTCCAGGGGATCTCCTCAACCCAGAGATTGAACTGTCATCTGCATTGCAGGCAAATTCTTTACAACTCAGCCACCAGGGAAGCCCACGATAGATAACGTACATACATAAAAAAAGAGATGGACAGAGAAATAGATATATAGATGAACAGATAAATAAACAGATAACGTCAGAAAGAGTACCTGAAGAACTATGGACAGAGGTTTGTAACATTGCACAGGAGGCGATGACCGAAACCATGCCAAAGAAAAAGAAATGGAAAAGGGCACGATGGTTGTCTGAGGAGGCCATACAAATATCTGAGAAAAGAAGAGAAATAAAAGGCAAAGGAGAAAGGGAAAGATATACCCAACTGAATGCAAAGTTGAAAAGAATAGCAAGGAGAGAAAAGGAAGCCTTCTAAGTGAACAATGCAAAAAGAAAAAAAAAAAGAGGAAAACAGTAGAGTGGGAAAGACTAGAGATCACTTCAACAATATTACAGATACTAAGGGAACATGTCATGCTAAGATGGGCACAATAAAGGACTGAAATGGCAGGGACCTAACAGAAGCAGAAGAGATTAAGAAGAGGTGGTAGGAATACAGAGAGAAACTATACAAACAAGGTCTTAATGACCCAGATAACCACAAAGGTGTGGTCACTCACTTAGAGCCAGATGTCTTTGAGTGTGAAGTCAAGTGGGCTGGAGGAAGAATTACCATGAACAAAGTTAGCAGATGTGATGGAATTCCAGCTGACCTATTTAAAATCCTAAAAGATGATGCTGTTAAAGTGCTGCACTCAATATGTCAGCAAATTTGGAAAGCTCAGCAGTGGCCAAAGGACTGGAGGAGGTCAGTTTTCTTTCCAAATCCAAAGAAAGGCAGTGTCAAATAATGTACAAACTACCATACAGTTGCAGTCATTTCACATGCTAGCAAGGTAATACTCAAAATCCTTCAAGCTAGGCTTCAGCAGTACGTGAACTGAGAATTTCCAGATGTATAAGCTGGATTTAGAAATGGCAGAGGAACCAGAGATCAAATTGCCAACATCCAATGTATCATAGAAAAAGCAAGGGAACCCCCCCCCCAAATAAAAGCCTATTTCTGTTTCATTGACTACGCTAAAGTCTTTAACTCTCTTGATCACAACAATCTGTGGAAAATTCTTAAAAGAGATGGGCATACCAGACCACCCACTGTACCTGCCTCCAGAGAAACCAGTATGCAGATAAAGAAGCAACAGTTAGGACCAAACATGGAACAACAGACTGGTTCCAAATTGGGAAAGGAGTACGTCAAGGCTGTAATCACCCTGCTTATTTAACTTATATGCAGAGTACATCATGTAAAATGCAGGAATGGATTAATCACAAACTGGAATCAAGATTTCTGGGAGAAATATCAACAACCACAAATATGCTGATGTTACTGCTTTAGCAGCAGAAAATGAGGAAGAATAAAAGAGCCTCTTGATGAGAGTGAAAGAGGAGAGTGAAAAAGCTGGCTTAAAACTAAACATTCAAGAAACTAAAATCATGGCATCTGGTCCCATCACTTCATGGCAAATAGATGGGGAAACAGTGGAAACAGTGACAGATTTTATTTTCTAGGGCTCCAAAATCACTGTGGATGGTGACTGCTTCCATGAAATTAAAAGACGCTTGCTCTTTGTAAGAAAAACTATGACAGATCTAGACAGTGTACTGAAAAGCAGAGATATCACTTTGCTGACAAGGTTCATATATGGATGTTAGAATTTAACCACAGAGAAGGCTGAGTGCTCAAGAATTGGTGCTTTTGAATTGTGGCGCTATGCTAGAAAATACTCTTGAGAGTCCCTTGGACTGCCAGGAGTTCAAGCAAGTCAGTCCTAAAGGTAATCAACCCTGAATATGCATTGGAAGGAGTCATGGTGAAGCTCACTTTATACAATTTTAAGTGAATGTTCCACTTTTTTCTCCTCCCAGAAAATTCTAGAAGATACCTTCAGTAGGCAAAGTTGAAATTTCAAACTCAGAATGTACATAGAGCACAGCAACAGCAAGTGAGTACGTCAGGGTAATTCAGGAGGGACTGTTTTCCATTACAGAATTCCTAGTTTGTCATGGTGACCTAGTGGAAACCAAGATTTCCTGAAAAAGTGAGCATGTTTTCATTCAAAACTTTGTTGGTCAATGCTTTGGCCACCTGAGAATAACTGGCTTGCTCATTGGGAAAGATCCTGATGCTAGGAAATACTGAGGACAGGAGGAGAAGTGGGCCACAGAGGGTGAGATGATTGAATGGCATCACCAACACAATGAAGATGAGTTTGAGCAAACTCAGGAAGATAGGGACAGGGAAGCCTGGCGTGCTGCAGTCTGTAGGGTCACGAAGAGTTGGACACAACTTAGGGACTGAATAACAACATACATACATACATATGTGCATACAAGCACACATTCATACATAGGTGGACAGACAGAGAAATAGATACATATGTACATTGATGGATAGAGAAATAGATAGGTGGCTAGCTAGCTACCTAGATGATAGATGAGAAGAAGGTAATGAAAATACAGATTGTGTAACTGTTTGCATTTTCTTTACTTTCAATACATTTAATTATAATACAGTCTCTTTACCAGAATGTAAATTACTTAAGCTCCTCCCACTTATTTTCACAAGATTGAAAACTTTCCTCAAAGTTTCATATTCTTTATATTCCACTGAGGCCTCTTGAGTTCATTTAACAATTACTAGTTAAATGTCTGCCATGTGCCGTTTTCCAGAATCAATGAACAAGGTTTTTTGACAGTAAGATACGGTTTTACAGAATGTTAGGGGATTCTAGAGGTAACTGGACGTGTTTCCCTCCAGATGAGGGGTATTTGAGCATCATCCCTGGCAACACCGAACACGTGTGTTGTTAGTTGCTCAGTCATGTCTGACTGCTTACAACCCTGCAGACTGTAGCCCACCAGGCTCCTCTGTCCATGTAACTCTCCAGGCAAGAATACTGGAGTGGGTTGCCATTTCTTTCTCTAGGGGATCTTCCCAACCCAGGAATCGAACCTGGGTGTCCTGCATTGCAGGCAGATTCTTTACAGTCTGAGCCACCACGTGTATGTGGATAATCACAAATCTTCCCTCCAGTAAGAAGAGAAGGGATTCTATTCCCCCCAGTCTCAAATGTTTGCTCAAGAGCCACATTCTTATTGCTCTTTCCTTTACTTACTCTGCTTGTAGGTTTTCATGTAGAAAACTCAGGCCTGTTAGGTATTTGAATTTGTTTTCTTATAATTAAAGCTCTTCATTGATTTTTATTAGAGTGTAAATGGTCACATGCTTAGCTTTCAAGGGAATTGATGAACAGCTCATTACAATAGAAGAATTGGCCTGGATTTTCTAGGTTTACGTTAGCGCTCATTTCTTTTGAAGATACCTTCTCAGTTGATGTTCAGCTACAGGTGAGTGAGGCCACAGTGTGAATGCTCTGGACGCTGATTCTTGGCCTCAGGAATTGATGGCTCCCCAGAGGAGCCCCAGCACACAGACCCATCTTGGCCTCAGGCAGAATTTGCTGTGTGGCGATCATAATTTTTAAGGCCGTTTGTTGGCCTCAAAAACGTGACCTTTTCAGGAATAGCCATGCAAGAAAATGTTTTGAAAGCTATGATAACTGTTTTTAGATAGAAGAAAGGCAGAACTGATTTCTGACTTACATGCCTAACCCTTGAAGCAGAGCTTCAGAACCTCTGAGGAAGCTCCTTAGTAAATGTGTATCTTTTCACCCTCATGTGCATTGAGCTTTGCGGACTGTTAGCACTGCTGCACGTCTTGTTCTGGGGACTTTTCCTCTTGTGGAACCTGCTTTCTGAATCCTGACTGGGGGGTGTTGGCCAGGGTTGATACTTAGAATTGCTCATGCATTCATTTTTCTGTTGTGCTGGTGCTCCTGACAAAAGTCACAGCCACCACGGGAGGAACCATGGTGACCTTAAGTACCACATGCATGTCTGTCCTTTAGCAAGTAATTTTTTAAAAAGGACTCTATTTTTAAGCAGCGATAGAAGCAATTTCCTGCAAGTCTCCTTGCAGCAACAGAAATGTCTAACAAGCTAAAATTTTGGTGGGGAAATGTTAACTTCTCTTCAAGAACACTAGTCTTAGGTGAAGACAGTAGGCATGGGTTGAACTCAGCAGTAAATATTTAGAAACTCATTTGGAGACAGTGAACTGGAGTTGTAGTTAGGTTGGATTTATATTTTGTTCTAGAACCCTCTAGAATAACATACTTTTTATTTTAAAAGTATGTTGTGTAGACATATGAAGCAGAGTTGATATTCATTAAATACTATTTTCCATATATTTTGTTCCTATAAACTCTCAAAATATGATTCTATTAAATCTTGTCAAACAATTTGTTACTGGACATGCATTTATGTTTTGTTTTGCAAGATGAACAGTACATCCAGGGATGTGATATTACCATGTTTCATCTCATGATAATAGAAGCTAGTCCTGTCTCAAAGGCAGAAAAGAGAGCAGTGTTGGCGCTTCATATACTCTGTGGGTCCTGCCTTTATCAAGCTAGTTATTTGTCTTTTTGCAGTTCACGCTATTAGCCCCCGTTTCCCCATCTGTAACATAGGAATGATAATGCTTTAAAGAGCTGTTGTGAGAATGCAAAAAAGGCACACGTGTATGTATGTGATATGTACACCACACCACATGCATGCGCACACACATCTGAACACACACAGACACGCTAGAGCCTGGTGTATTGTATGCAGACGGCACCATATGGATGCCCGCTGAGGAACACTTTTCTCCCATCACCCTTCTCCATCCTTCACTCCCTGTCCATCCTCTGTCCTGCTCCTTGCTGGTCTTTTTCCCTCGGATACCTTTACATTCTCAGCACGTCCCATTTCATGGAAAAGTCTGGATTTCCTTCCATCTCACTCCGGGACCTCAGAATTTCCTGATTCACCCTCCTCCCTCTCCTCTGAAACAAACGCTCCTTGCTTCTACCATCTCTTTCTCCAAAGCCTGGCTCACCTCTCTCCAGCCCTTGCCTGGCTCACCTCTCTCCAGCCCTTGCCTGGCTCACCTCTCTCCAGCCCTTGCCTCCTCACTCCCCTTTGTCCCCCCTCCTGTGATCCAGCCTCCTTTATCCTCAGGCGGAAGGGTTTCCATACCTCCTCAGAGTCTGCGCTTCCAGACTAGTTATAGATTGGCAGGTAGCAGAAGCTGTTTTGTTCCTGAGAAACAATCCTGTGATTGGTTTCAAAGGAAAAACAGCCCTGGGGCTAAGTAATTAACCCCCAACAGGGCACGCTATTCTTAGGCCCTGAAAGCTCCTGGCTTGGGAGGATCTGTGTAACATTCATGGAGAAATGAATTTGCACTTATTTGTCCCTGAAACTGCTTTTTTATATTTATACAAAATAAGTGGCAAATTAGATAGATAGATAGATAGATATTTGACTATGTCTCAAGGCATGGGAGCTCTTAGTTCCCCAACCAGGAATTGAAACCATGCCCCCTTCAGTGGAAATGCAAAGCCTTCACCGCTGGACCACCAGCGAACTGTGCTTTTTATATTTTTGTCATTTACTTTGGGGCCATATAGACTCATCTAATTTATTCACATTTCAGGTTGCATTTAGGAAGTTCTTTTAGTTTATGAATTGCATTAAGAAATGAAGCAAGATTTTAGTGAAATTGCAAGATCTGTGAAATTTGTCTGGACTAGGGTAAAAACTATGTTTTTAAACTTTCAAACCACATTTGAGTGTATTTTCTATAAGGGAGTGTTGAAATTTATTCTCATGATAATTGCTTTTAAAGAATACTAGATAAAAACTCATTATTTATATCATTGGAAAGGACGTGATCATACCTTGATCCTTCCCATGTAAGTTAATTATGTAGAATGGAGTTCATGTGAGAAGTCAATCCATAATGAATGAACAGTTTTGATACATGATGCCAGCTTTCTTCCATTAATTCAGCAATCAAAATGACCGTCCAGGTTTCTGGATATGCCTTAGGGTCTGATGCAGCATTAATCCAGAGCTCAAAAAGGTTAAATGAACATTAGATACCTAAGCTGTACCTTTTTATGCTCTAAAATCTGACCTTTTCCCATTCATTGTTTGAAAATAGAGGATATACCCTGAATCTATATAATTACAGCTGCAAAAGACATTCTAATTAAGAGAAAAATTGTCAATCCAATAAAAGTTGAATAAAGCACTTGGTAATTAATGTATCACTACTTCCTATAGTGATAAGTATGGATTTTTGACTCACCATTTTAAATTACTTACTTGACTACTAACAGCATTGTTTTCAAAAGGATGAAGTGTTATTTCTTGGCTTCTGTGACTATGAAAAATAATACAGATTAGGTATTTTAAATGTGCACTTTATTTAAAACACAGAAAATGATAAATAAAGCAAAAATGTGTATGTTTTAAAGAAGTATATATATAATATATACATGGATATATTCACATGTAAACATCAGTTTTTAATTCTTAATCCTTAATTTATAAATTGGCTTCATAATAATTTTGAACACTAATTAAAACAGCTGTCAATATATGGACAAATATCCTTTCCAATACCTTTATGTATTAGAGGATGTGTTTTTATCTATATATCAGCCACTTGCATTTAGCCAGCTCAAAAAGCATTCTCCACCGTATATCAGTTTAATTTGTTGATCTATTTAAATTAACCTCAGAAGACAGCTTCCCTTTGCTGTTTGGTAGGAACTTCCTATTGCAGAGTCCAGTTACGAACATTATGAACGTGCAGAGTGCACTGCTCCTTTTTGGGGGCAAGTGCTTCAAGTGTCCCCGGGTTCATCGTCCTGACGGTGCTCGCTCTGCAGCTCCGATCTTTTTCCTGAGCTCTTGGTGTCTGCTGCTGTGTTCCAGGCACCGGAGATCAGCTCAGTAAGACACAAGAGTCCAAAGTCTCGGCCCTGTGGGCCTTGAAGGCTTGTCATCCTGGGGGAGCCCAGATGGGTTCTCGCAGGACCACTGGGCGTGCACGTTCGGGATAACGCGTCCGTTTGATGTGAAGTCCCGTTCAGTAACACTGGGATGGGTCTGCTCCCGGGTTTTACAAACCACTGTCTCGTGCGAGTAACCAGGTTTTCCTTGGACAGATGTGCTGGTATCAAAGTGGATGTGACCTGCTGACTGAAGATCTTTTCTGACCCTAATGTTTTAGGGTTCTCCCACCATGCCTTTCTAGAAGGGGATACGCAGCCGCGAGAGCGACTGATCAGCCAGCCCTTAGGGGGAAACATCCCGCTCGCTCCCGCTCGAGCGAGCACCCTAGTGTCAGAACACTGTGCTCTATGCACCACCTTGCCCCCGGAGGGTCCGCGCCACCTTCTCCGCTCCTGACAAGGTCGCTGTTCAGTGTCTGCCTCCAGGTGTCGCTGTGGTGTTGTGCCTTCCTGAGCTCTGGACACTCACTCATCACGGCACCGTAGCTCTTGATCCTTCCTTCGTGGCACTTAAACCCCCCCGCATCCACCCTTGCCTGCATCTGCCTTCACTGTGCTGGTACCCCTCTCTTCTAAACTTCCTACCAACCAGCCATCACTGAAAACTAAACTTGCCTGTGTTCCGTCCTTCCATCTGTTCGTGGCATATTCATTTATACTTTTTTTTTTTTTAATTATGTGAAGTTCTTTATAAGAAATTGCCTGGAATTAAATGTATATTTGCTTTAAAATGTATAAGAAGAATCAGAAAAGAAAAAGAAAACAGTCTTTCATCTTTGTTCATAAAATTGAGAGTGCTTTAAAATTCTTAAGTATATATTAAAAAAAAAGTTTGAATAATAGTAGATAGAGGTCAGCTTACTCCAGTACAGTAGTAATGTATCCGCATGCTTCTTAAATTTATATCTGTAATTTTGATCTGTTCCCCAGTATATTTCATACCATGTGCCCAAGGTTCTTTTTTATACATATCTTTTCAGACGTTTCCTATTTAAAAATAAATTGCAAGTGAATGGTAGCTTATAAAAGTCTATAACTACTCTCGTCACTTAGATGGATTTAATTGTAGCCGTCTATCAGCCTATCTTAAATAATTGACGCACGTTGTTAAGATTCAGAGGCTGTGAGTGGATACATTCCCTGCAGTACTACCGAAAATGGACACCTGAACAGCGAGTCGCAGCTTCCTGCACAGTTTATGAAAAGAAGAGGGTTCAGTTCTGCCCTGTTCAGGAATTCTTCCTGCAGCACTGTCTGTGGCGGAACCCTTCCTCGTTTGGCCCCTTTTTTGGTCATAGTCATTTTATGCACATCATGTAAGAGAATTTGATTTTACTTCCAAAGGCCCACGTAGGCGCTTTAGGTCTCTTTTAATAGCAGCAGGAAGAAGTCAGGGGTTTTTGTCAGGCCCTCCGGGGTTTCATCGTGTGATTTGGCCCTGTCTGTCTCCCCCGCAGGACACACCGGCAGGCGAGCCCCACCCGGTCCCCGCCCGCGGACGCCGCCTTCAGCAGCCGCCGGGGCAGGCAGCTCCCGCAGGTGCCCGTGCGAAGCGGCAGCATAGAACAAGGTATCCACAGAGAGAGCCGGCCCAAAGCCTGGCTTCGAGAAACCCCTCTTTATATCTGCCTTCTGTTAACAGAGTCATATTCTGGTTGCATGTAGTCTGATGAATCCTAAGAACTCAAGTTACCCAGCACCTGGGTATAACAATTGGTGCCTCTGTGCTGTTTCTGCTAAGTGAGTGAGTGAGTGAATTTTAGATGGTCAGTTAAAAGAAAAAATACCAGCCCTTAAGAGAGACTTCTTCCAACGGTACCAAGGCAAAAAATAAAACTTTAAAGACCTCAGTACAATACGGTATTTTTGGTGTTAAAAGAAGACTTATTTAACCTTATTTTAAAAATATTTTTAAATGAAACAAACATATTGAAGGCTTGGCTAGTGTTTTTTTATTTGAACTTACTTGCAATATCTCATATTTTTCCTGTCTTGATGATTAAAAACTGACTTAGAAAACACATTTTAGTGTCTTTAAACAGTTAACATCACTTAAATTTCCCTTATTTTAAGCATATACCCATTGTTTTTATCTTCTAGATAGAGAGGGGGTGGGAGTGGGGGATATATTTTCCTGGAAGTTAAATTCACTAAGCTACCTGGCCGAGAGTTAAACACAGTTGAAAGAGTCAGATTTCTTCATGTGACTCAAAGTGCCTTTCCATTTCTCAGTAAGTGAAATGATATGTTATCAGTAAATGTTATCATAAATTTTTTAAACAGTTTGGTGAAATAATGTTTAATTTGGGGTTGTAATGTGAATGCAGTCGACTTCTATTTAAAATGTGTATTAAAAATCTTCATCTGAAGATGTTAACTGAAAGGTTAACATTTTGAATATTTTTTTCAGCAGTGTTGGTTGTTGCTGATGGAAAACTTGTATATTTCCTTCTATATTGTTGAATATGTGTTCTACCCCCTCAAAGCACTTTCCTGAATGTATCGTTGAAATATTAGTGGTCAAAGAAGATAAATATGTTTTTGCAAAGACTGACCTGACAGACTTTGTACACAGAGTACTTGGTTATAAGAAAATTAGTGTAGATTTTAAGAAGTGTCATCTTATTGACAGAAAAATGTTGCTACAATAAATTATGAATTTGTATTCTTTTTTAAAAATCATGCGTCCTGTTGATATGCCATGCTTTAATATTCAGGGTCATTATAAAGCTATTCATTTAGCTAATCAGAAAAATAAAAGGCTATGTGAAACTCTGACTTTCTTTTCTAAAATAACAATTAATTCATGGGAATTCTCAATTCATGTCTTTAACAAACTTTCTCTTATTTGGGAACATTTTGAGAAGATAACTCATAATTAATGTAATATTATTAAGGCTACAATTAGCAATAGTCTAAATGAAATTGTCTTAAAATTTATCTTAAAAAATGTGGTGTGTGTTTAAATTACTCAGTCACGGACTCCTGTTGCACAACCAAAAGAACTACGGGTACTGGTGTTCAGCTGCAGACTCACTACTGGCCATAGTGTGCTAAAGATTGATATCCAAAAATCATGTGTTCCTAAAATTCTTTGCATTTCCTCAAGTTGCTAAACACTTAAGATTCAAAAGCATGTGAGCGTATTGAATATAACTCTCATATAGTGAGATTATAGTTTTATTAATCTATAGAAATAAGACTTGTTTCTACAAAACCAGATGGAATGTGTGCTAGACTTTGTGTTTTTTAAAACTCATGTTTGGTTGTTAATATCAATCAACATTACTGCTTTATGATATTCATATTCACAGTTGTCTTTCAGAGAAGTCACCAATTTGTAAGGATTGAATTGAGGTGGGAAGAAAGGAATGACTGAGGATGAATTTGGTGGAGTTATTTTGATAGTTAATATCACAAATAACTTCCTAGTCACTTGCTATCTGAGGTTCCTAAAGCTTATCATCTTAAGAGTCGTATAGATACAACCGTTTAAAAATACAACAGCAAGCATGTACTATTTTATCTGTGTATTCTGTAGTTAAAATGGATCTGATTTGCCGTATGTTGTTACTATGTGCTTTGGGACGTTGGTAAATGATGGTACTGCCCACCTTCATCTTATTATGGATCTCTTTCAAACCGAACAGGTCACATGACATCTTTGTATTTCCTAGAATGTGTTTTAAAAATCAACGTCTAATTTTATTCATGGGCTCAATAGAATTTAGCTTATTTTACTGAAGATGGAGTTCATTGATGTTCTTAAGGCTATATAATCATGTCACTTTTTCCTTTAATATTATATGTTAAAATTTACTTCTGTATTCTGTGAAGACTAATGCCAAATGCAGTTTATTTACAACCAGTGAAGGCCCTACCACATTTGACTCCTTCTTTCCAGTCTCATTTTATGTTTATTTTTACTTTTAAAAAAATTTTTCAACAAACGATAATTGTATTTTATTAAAAAAACTGAGCTGACAATTGGTTGGTAAGAGTGAATATTTCAAATGATGTAGATTCCTGAATAGTGTTATAACTTCTTGATGAACTTATAATTTTATTCATGCATAATTTCTGGATATAATTATCTGCATTATTGTGTTTAGGATCCATAGATTGTTTGGATGCTTATTTTCTTCATTGTAATTCAGTTCAACCATTCTCTCTTTGTACAGCGAAAGCAATATATATATATATATATTTTTTAAAGGCTAACATCATGTGAAAAAACACATTTATTTAAACTTCTAAAAATGTATTCTAAAAGTTCTTTTAAAAATTAGGAATGCTAGCCTATTTTCTACATGGAATCTGATTATGTTACAGCTAGGGAGGAAGCATAGGTGTGGTTATGATACAGATTTTGAGATAAAGTAGCTGAAAAAGTAGCCTTAACATTTAGGTAACTCCAAAGGTATGTGATAATTGAGAGCAGAGGCTTTCAGGAAACTCCTCTGGGTATGTTCCAATGTTGTATTCCAGTGTAACCCTAAGGTAGTGTGAGATGGAAAACAAGATGATCAGTTGCATTAAAATGGATGGTTTTCTGAAGCCAACCAAGTGATTTTGTATGTGTGTGTGCATCATAGGTATTTTTTTAAGCCTATTTAAAGATCATTCATAAATTGACACAATGTGCCAATTATTTTGTTGTTGTTGTTGTTCTGGTATTCTGCTACCTAACATTAATGGCACGCCCCTTCAAAATACCTAGATAGGCCATTGTTTCTCAGTAAATCATGTACCAACAAGGAGGTAGATAAATTCGTAAGAAATGTGTGAGAAATATAATCTCCAGAGAACATTTCACTTTGAGATAGTTTAATATAATTAATTTGAGAAGGAGAAAAGGATTACTTGAAGTAGAATATTTTTTCCCAGGTGGGAAATGTTCTAGAATACTTTCCACAGTGAAAAGAAAATGCCTACTACCTACCAAAAAATGGAATTTATGTTTTCATTTATTATATAAAATTTTAAATGATCTGAAAGGCTATCATTTTTGAAATTAAAATGTTAGTTTTGAATATTAAATATGTTTTTAAGTACATTTATAATAAAATGTTATGATATATTAAGATTGAAATATCTTAGTAAAGTGGGTGCTGAAATATTGTTCAATTCTTCAAAGGCAAGAAAATATACTTTTTCAAATTCTAAATATATTAATTTCCCAATGTTTATGCTTTTATTTAAAATCTTTAAATTGTTGCATTCATTCTTTCTTTGATTGGTTTTAGTGCCGTGTTTGAGACTTCTTCATAGTTTGTCATTAAAGTTTGTCATATCACATTATATGTTACATATTTTTATTATTCATGCCATTGTGTTGATTCACATTTCCATGTCTAACTATAAATTTGCTGATTTCTTTCTTTTATTTCCATCATTATGTGCATTTAATTCATTGAAGAACAAGAAAAATATAACTCATCCACAAAAGGTAAATATTAACGTAACTTTTTAACAATTGAATATTGTTTCTTTTCTCTCATAGTATGTGAGTTATGTAACTGCATTTTTTAAAATAATGAGCTACATTATTTAACAGATAGCTTTTTGCCTGCACTGATTTTGTAGGGCATTTGGTGTCAATTGTTTGTATTGTGAGCAGTTCACATCAAAGAAGAGAGAATTAAAATTAAGAGTGTTTTTGCTTCAATATTTATTTTCAACACTGACAACTAGAAAGCAATTCTCTTTGGAAAAGAGTAGCATATTTATTTTATGTTTTTTGCATTCCCTTGCCCTCATAGATACAGGATTTAATGCTTACTGTCTGTGATGCAAAGGAGTAGAAAATCCCTAGGTTTTCCTTCTAAACAACAGTAACCTTATGGAATATTTGGCCCCCTGCAGTCATGCATTGGAAAGTGGCTGCCAAAATTCTGCTCCTCTTGGCCCCAGGAGGGTTAGAACACCCATCAGTTCTTCCTTCCTGAGGGACACTGGAGGGAGACCGTTTACTCGGCTGTGTTGGCATCTTGCTGACCTGCCCTGACCCTTTGGATCACATGTGACGTTTGGTCTTTGTACTTGAATCTCATGTAGATGCAGACGTCAACCCACTCTCATGTGCCACCTTATTAGGTATGACTATTGGCTTGATAATTAGATATTTGAATATGAGATTTCAGCTTAAAGAAATAATATTAACAATGCTAAAAGATTATATAATTTAACAAAAGTACCTTTGCTCACTATTTGTAGCTTGATGATGTAATTAATTTATTGCTTCCCGTAACTCTAAAAGTTAGTCCTGAGAGGACCATCATCCTTTTACAAAAGATGAAGCTCAGATTGAAAGAGGTTCAGAGATTTACCCATCCAGCCTGGTGATGTGACATAGATGACAAGCCCATCTCCTACTTCGGACCTCCTTCCTCTATACTTGATTGCATTCTATTTTAATAGGCACAAATCCCAAGTTTATATTCCTAACTTTGAGTATAGTGAAGTATGTGTTATGTCTCTCAATGTCATAGATTGAAAATAGGAGGTAATATTCAAGTACTTCTATTAGTTTTAATTTATGAAAATTTGTTTATATTCTGGCACATAATA